TTACAATCTTAAATAGCAAAAGCTGGAAACATGCAGTATCTGCATTTATGATAATTGTGCTGCTATGAATAGTACATGTAAAGAGAACAAACACTATGCAGTCATAAATTACTTCTCATTTAAATATAAGTTATTTTACCTCGACAGCTTAATTTATCATTTTGCAGTTTATAGCCTACAGGGCATGAGCAGTTGTAAGAGCCCATAGTATTGACACAGTTTCCATCACACTTGTTATTTTCTGATTTGCATTCATTTACATCTAAAAAAAAAGACGTTAAATTTGAGTAGTGATTTATTTTTAATTTATACAGAATGGTTGGATATTTTCTAGGAAAATGTTGTTTATAGTTATTTTTATTCTTTAAATAATGCGTAAATTTCATTATAACAATAAAATGATTATTCTTTTTGTTGTTTTTGATACAAATATTTCAAATTATTTCAAGTTGAGGCAGAGAAATGTTTTACTAAAGTTAATAAAAAAGGGTTACTTAAACCTATTAATATTTTATTATTTAATTCTTTAAAACTCCAATATAGTTAAAAAACTGTCAATTTTAAATAATGTACAAACTCACCAATGCAATCAAAGTTATTAGTGCTAAGAGTGAAGCCAGTATGACAGAAACATTGAGGTGTTCCATTTACATCTGTACAGCCTTGGCTGCAGTTAAGGTAAAAATTGATGCAAGGATCCACAGCTGAAAAAATAAAATTGTTGGGTCACAAGTTATGGCATACTAAAATTAAAATGTAATTTCTCTTTTAAAAGTTTATAAAGTTAAAACATAGTTTTTTATTGCTGATGCACACATTAAAATATTATCTTAATAATCTGTAAGTAAATTAATGAGTACATATTTTTTTTTTCAAAAATATTTCTATTTTAAGTGTTTTTAAAGCAACTTTTTAAAAATAAATACTATTGTATCTGCACATGCTGATTTTTTTACTAAGTATTTGTTTATTATATTTTAAAATTACCATCTTTTTCACATGTCTTTCTGTCATCCTTTAATCTATAACCAGGATAACAACCGCAGTAGCTACTCCCTGGAACATTCAAACAGATCTGCTCACAGCCAGATTGGCCATTATCACATTCATCTATATCTGTAGAGATATTGTAGATTCTTAATTAATAGATTGATAACATTTACTTTCAATGTGATGGATACAATTTTTCAGAAGTTATTTTTTTTTATTTAGGCTTATTACAGCTTTAAATGTTTTTGTTTATATTTTATAGTGTTTTAACTATAGCTAGATTTACAATGTGGGCTTCGATTTAAAATCAATGTTTTTTTTATATTACCTAAGCAAGTCCCATTAGAAAGTTTTGTAAAACCTCTGAAGCATTCACAAATGAAAGAGCCTGGTGCATCAATGCAGTTTTGGGAGCAATTATTTAGCAGAATATTGTTGCATTCATCAATGTCTGAAAAACAAATGATTATACAAAATTTAAATAACATCTACTGAACTATTCTAGTCAGTAGTGTTTAAAAATGAAATTAGAAATAATTAATTATCAATGCATTTGAAGTAATTAGCATATTTTTAAAAGTTAATTTAATGAAAATATTTAATGCTGATGAAATTTTATATACAATAAATAAATTGTCATTCCCAATTTAATAATAAATAAAATCAAATGTTAAAACTACTAACATAATTTTTTTGTAGTAATAAGTATCTGTGTTTTATCTTAAATATATGTTTGTTGTCATAGACATTAATATTTTTATGTGGTGTTTACTGTACATTTAATTTAATATGACTGGCCAGATAATGGTGTCAAATGGCTATCCAAATTAATGCCAAACTACATTACATTTGTAATATCTTGTCTGGTAGCCATTTGAGTTCTGTTATCAATTATGAACCAAGTTAAACAACAATCCTATAGCCACTAAATAAAAACCTTATTTATGGCAATAATGCTGTATTTTACAGACCTGAATAGTATAATGTTCACCTATGATTTATAGTAGTACAAAATATTGTTGAAACAAACACCAAATTATTGGTCTATAAACTGCTTATCTCTATTAATGAATAATTCTTACTGATGCAAGTCCCATTGATATCTTCAAATCCTGTAGGACAGTTACATGTGTAGGATCCCTTAGTATTTTTACAGTAATGATCTGGTGGACAAATGTTTGGAGCTTCTGCACACTCATCAACATCAATGTCACAGTTTGTTCCCTTCCAATTGTCTTGGCAGATACAGCCCTTGATACTGTCACATCGTAGAGCATGGCCCTTACATTCACATTGTGAGGCACAGTTTAACCCATACATATTATCAGGACATGCTATTAGAAAAAAAATTATCAACGCAAAACTTGAATGTGTTTTAGGACTAGCACTGGTTTCTAATATGTAATGAGACATGTATGGGTTCAAGCTATAGAAAAATAAAGTGCAGCTAGAACAGACAAAAATGGTATCGTTTTTTTAAATAAATTTAGAGTTAGGAAAGTATTAAAAAACCTTAAATGAAATTTCAATTTAGATACATATAATTATGTTTATTTATTGTAACACATATGGTTACCAGCCAAGGGGGATAAAAATATGAAGTTTTAATTCATTGAGTTGCGGCCCCTGTGGGGCTGTGGCTCTGTGGACGTAGTTGTTTTTTCATGCTTTTGTGAGCGATGTTACCTGTGTCCCATGTCATGTGACATGGGACTGTGGGTTTCATGCCTAGCCGTGTGTGTCGCACACGCAAGCCTGCTGTCTGTGGACACGGTGACCAAGATGTAGACCTAATGAAGGGCTACGGTTTTATCATCATGGCTCGATGCTGTAAATAGAGCGAGTACTGGACAACAACTGTCGGTGTCGGTGTGTACTTAATCTCAGGGTCAGCCCGTCTTAACCACAACACCTCAGTGGGTAAAAGCATCCCCACTGAGTGAGGGTTACATTATCATTAGAAACAATATTGAATAAAAAGTTTGTTTAGATTTTATTAAGAGATTTTAAAGAAAGATGTTATGAAAAAAAATGTCAAACTTACCATCACACTTGTGAGCGTGTTCACTGTTCATCTTGTAACCAGCCTTACAGCTACAAGTAAAGCTCCCTTCACTATTACTGCAGTTTTGTGAGCAAATGTTTTTCTTACATTCATCAACATCTGCACATACATATTTTGCATTAACAGATAATGAATAAAAATTTAAGTATACATATTAGTAACCTCAAAATACTTATTTCAAAATGAATTCTTCAAGAATGTATAAAACTGTATTCAATTAAATAAATATTATTTTGTTATGTATAAAGCTCATTATAATGAATATGTTACAAAATAAAAAGCAAAACATCATTAAGCTTGATTCTAATTATATTATTATGAATCTTGAATTACCTATACAATCAATGCCATTTTCTTTCAGAATAAATCCATGTTTACAAAAACAGCCTTGAGTGTCATTGTTGCAGCCATAATTGCATGTTGCGTTTACTGATTTACATTGATTTATACCTTTAAATTAAAAATAAAGTAAAGATTAAAATATTTGATTATTCGTCTCTTGTTTAGTATCTTCATAAATGAATAGTATCAATGTTAAGATTTAAATAAATTTAAAAAAAAATAATGTTCACCTGTTTCTGTTTTAATACATGTATTTTTGGAGCTATTAAATCCAGGATAACAAGAACAATTAAAACTTCCTGGAGTGTTGGTACATAACTGATCACAGTTATCTAGTTTATCAGCACACTCATCTATGTCTAAATATCAAAGAAATTTTACAATGCACATTATACAAATATATAAATATTATCAAATATTACATTATAAAATATTGCACTTTATTGAACCTTTATAGTGAATTGTTTAAAAATTGATACCAAACATGTGTTACTCTAGATAATAGCTTATAGACAAATGTGTAGTATTTGTTCTTTATAAATTTCAACAATTTTTTTCATATTTTTAAAATTATATTTTGATTTTTGAATGCAAAAAGTACTCGCCCAGACAACTGTTGTTTACATTTTGGTAACCACCCTGACAGTGACACAAAAAACTTCCATAAGTATTTTCACAGTCAGCATGAGAATCACATGGTGAAGTTTGACATTCATCAAAGTCTGTTGATACAATATATTTCATAACAGTCTTAATATAACCCTATAAATAATGTTGGCTTAGTAAAAATTATGGTTCTTTATTCATTAGTTTTACATAGCTAATAACTTGTTTTTAAAACAGTAACCATTATTTTTTATATAATTTATAATAGAAAGCAGATAAATTATAATCATACTCTTATGTCAAGAGATGTAGTTAGTTTCTGTCTTGATTAAAATGCATTCAACATTTTTACTGTGTAGCTCTTAGACCTTACCATATTTAATGCTATAGTGTTCATTTAAATTGTTTAAAATATTACCATTGATTATTCAAAAACATGCAGTAAACACACTGAGTTTACAATATACCCTATAATATTACTGTGTTCTATTAACCACAAATGTACTAATACAAAATATGGAAACATCATACCTTCACATTTGGTTTTAGCAATGCTAAGATTAAAACCAACAGGGCAATTTTCACAGTTATAAAATACTCCAGTAGCCTGATTTATATTGTTTGAAAGATTTGTACAGCCTAATGGGCAGGGCTTATCAGCACAGCCATCAATAGCTTCTTCACAATCAACTCCTATTAAGAATTATACAAAAAAAGTTGTGAGGGTGTATACAGAGAGATCTGTTTACTTTATACTCTAATTTAGCAAACAGATTATTGTATAATATCATTCAAACTTTTACATTTAGCTGTAAAAATGTTATAAAGAAAGAATGTTATTTAGGCTTATGAAGAAATTCTATTAAACTATTATTTAATAAAAATCAGAGTAAAACAACTGCCAAACTACACAACTTCCATATATTTTAAAAACTCTAGCTTTCAAATTTCAAAATGGAGTAAAACTTTAAAAAGAAAATTGAAATGTAATTTAATATTAAACTATCAACATGCCTCTATGGCTAGAGTTACAGTTGCAGGTTGCATAGGTAAAATAAGGAGATGTAGTAGGTCTGGTAACAGAAAAGTTACATGATCCCTGATTATTGCAACCAGTACAGAGAGTAAGAGACAAAGGGATAACCTCAGACTGCAGGTTTTTATCATCAACAGCTGTTATTCTGTGGGAGAAAATGTATCATATTTTAGCTTACTCAATCAATTTAAGGAAAACAATTAATTGCTACATTGGAGTCATCCATAAATGACGTCACACTCGTAGGGGGGAGGGGGGGTTCGTAATTTTGTGATGATGTGTGATGAGGGGGAGGGGGGGGGAGGTTCAGATGGTGTGACGTCACTTTTTTGCATTATTAAAAAGCAATATTAGAAGACTAGTTTTAGCCGTTATTTAGAAGACTGTTTTAATAAATTGTAATGGGAATTGATCAAAATACTACATGTTGTTTGGAAAAATATCGATGTTTTCAGAAACATTCAACAGCAATTTTGAGGGGGGGGGGGGGTCATAGGCTGAGGTGTGATGTCATTTTAGGGAGGGGGTCTGGCTTTTTGTGATGATGTGAGGGGAGGGGGGAGGTAAAAATCGTCCAAAAAAGCGTGACGTCATTTATGGATGACCCTATTTGTAAATACATAGTCCTATATATATAAATATATATATATATATATATATATATATATTTATATATAATAATATGTAAAAGTGTGTTACTTTTGCAAAAATCTTTAAGGAATAGTATTCCCTAACGAAACTTTAGACAAAAAAATCTATTATACATACACACTCACACATTTTGATAATAGGGATTCTAATTTAAATATACAAAACAGCATACAAACAAAAGATGACAAAAAGCAAAAGAAATTTTTTTTTAATTTTGACCCTAAAATGTTAGATTTTTTATATTTTCAAAGACAGTTTTCCAAAAAAAACGAATTATCCATCTGATGTTTAGCGAAATACTGGAAAACACTAATGTCCAGAGCAGAAATTTAAAAATAAACATTGTGGTAAAACTTAATATTAATTAAAGCTGTAACCAAGTTTAACCAAACAAGGACAGTGCAACTTGTGAAGAGAATTTCATCAATGTCTTATCAATTTTTTCTAAAACTAAGTTAGAAAAATGTAAATAATGTCTGCACTATAAGTGTTTGATCATAGTTGTTGGAATGCGAGTTTGTCCACAATACAGCCCAGAAACCCAAGGGCATATGAAAGTCTTGATAGTAAATTAATCAACCTCCATAATAATGAGGTAGAACACATGTCATGTAAGTCATTGGGTTCCATTGTTTACCATATCGCATAAGGTGCACTTCCTGGTTCTTTTAAGTTATCAAATCTCTTGGCCCACAGGGTTCCTATTGTATGGTACTCTTTAAAACGAATGTAGGTACCATAGAGTTCATGTGGGAGCCTAGGGTGCACAGGGTCCCTTGAATGCTGGTGAGAATATGCCTAGTACAGTTTGACTGTGCAAAATCCTACCATAATGGGTCGCTGACCCTCTCAAATTTAATTTTTGTTTTCCACATAAATCTTCTCAGGAGTATTAACATAAACTTCACAAAGTTTCATGGCAATCAGATGAAAAGTGTAGTAATGCATAAAAGACAAACAGACAGACAAAATGTAAATGAAGTAGTCCTACTTACCCAATTGTTACTACAGTTAAATTTGTAACCATAAACATAAATTCGGTTGTTGCATTATGTGTTGAAGTAACTTGATTTTTTTGCTTTTCAGTGTAATTTACATTGGTTAATACTATGAAGTGTGTTACATTCCCATCAATATCATAACCACTAACATTGATGAAAAAAGGAGTATTTATATCTATTTCAAAGTTTGTTTGATTTAGCTTAATAAATGGTGCTTGATTTGCTGTAGACAAAAGAAATGAATTTAAGTAAGCATAATTTCCAGTAGTTAAAACAGTATTTACTTTCTAGAAGATAAAAGCATTAAAAACAAATCATTTTAGTATGTCAAAGTCAAGTATCAAACTTAAAACAATTTAAATGGTCAGCTTGCACTAAGCCACACTGCCCCCAAAGTAAACTTTAATGAATATTTATAGATTGATGCACATTAGCCAACTGTCATTTCTGTAGTGCTATATTGTTAACTACATCATTCTATAATTGTTAAATAAAAAGTTATAGAAAACTCTTACCCATATTGGTATTCTCCATTATGAACTGATCTGCTACTTCTAGTGAATGTTTTGCTAAACTTTCATTTTGAGTAGCAATGTAATCATAAATACAAGGTATTTGAAACATTCCATTACAAAATGTGCTGGAAGAATTTGTTATTGCATAACTAAGCTCATCATAAAATAAAGGGGTGAAATTTGTATAGGAAAATGTTGATGTGCTTTGCCCATAAGCATATGGAAATAAGCTTTCAGACTGAGTAATTGCCCCTGCAAAGAAAAAGTAAATAGCAATTTCAGTATAAAAATAGAAACAAAATTACAAATGTTCTATACAATTTGATTTGTTAAATTAAATAACAAAATACAATGTATAATAATTTAATTTTTTTAAACTGATTTTCAAATATTTCTCACAGCTCTGGACAAAATGAAGAAGTTGTCTTTCAGACGATTTATCTGTGAGTGTAGTCCCATTAGGAAATATAAAATCATCTGTCTTGATATAATTGAAATTGCCTAAGAGCCCTCGTGTCATATTCTGATATTTCTTATCTAAGCTTACATAAGCTTCAAGAAAACCATATGATAGGGTAATTGTGACTCCAACACCTGGAGATTTAAAAATTGCATTATTTTTAACACATTTGATACGATATAAATATAACATATTAAAAACAGTATTAAATATATCTATAAAAGGTATTTTAAAGTATTTACTAAATTGTCAAAACTTACTTTCAGAAAATGAAACTTTCAAGGATCCATTTTGTTGTCTGATGACCATTCCCTTTTCAACAGCAAAGAATTCTGGCTCATTTTTAAATGGTGCAGAGTAATCTCTATTGTTTGCATAAATAACCATCACTGAAATAGTTAGTACTTTTATAAATTTTGATAAGAAAATATTGTGTTCTTTTATACAAACTTAATCTTTTTTAATAGATTTTAAGAATTAGAAAAGAGTGGAAGCATTTTGATGTTAATATTAATTAATCTGGTAACTTTTTGTGTTTTTTTTTCTTACCGCAAGCAAGGATTTATAGATTTAACCTATTTTTGTGTCAATAATTGCAATAAATTTTTTTGTTCACAAGATCACATTTCTAAAAGTGAAATTAAGATGAAAACTGAAGCATTGTTATAAAATAATTAAAGATCATGTACAATAAAAAACATACTTCTATCCCCAGGTCTTATTTGTACTGTTAATATCATATCATCTCCATTTTTAAAAGCAAAAGCACACCAAACTGCAGCTCTTGCTTTTGTTCCATTTTTGCTTAATGCACTGCAAGTCCGACCCTTTTTATATTTAAAAAAAAAATATAAGAAGGTAATGAACTTTGTAAATGATTTGTATTACAATTATATTTTCAAAAAAATCTGTAAGGAATAGGTACTTAACTTCATTAGAAATGTAGTTAATTAATTAATTTACCTGCATCATAAAATTGATGTCAGTTCTGTCCTTTGCAATGCCATCTATCTCCAATATTTTATATTCTCCAAGGCCATTAAAAATATAAAATCGCTCATCGAAAGTAAAAATATGAGGGTCACCAAACAAAAATCCTTGGAGAAAAATTTTGAAGATTTTAAAGCATATAACAATTAGGGCCTATATAAAATAATGTATTTTTTAATATAAAAATACAAACTTTTACTAGATGATACTCATATAAGTAAGATTTCAATGTTAGATAAATATCTTATTTAAGTCATAAAGTTATATTTAACAACTTACCCCTCACCCAACTACTTGCAATACATTGTACAGTTGGTCTTAATTCATAGTATAGTTCACATAAATCAGATTGATAGCAGCACCAATTTTTTGGTTCAATATCATTCAGTTGGTGATCTCTAGAATTGTGTATTAAAGAATTGAAAGCATTGTTGCGTTGAAGGCTGCCTGCTTGTGGCTTTCTGCTTTCAAGACTGAAACTCCCATCCATACGATAGCAGCATCGCTAAAAGCAAAAGTTTAAATGTCAGCATCTGAGACTTTAAAAATATATTTTAAATGCAACAATACTCCCGCCAGTAATTAATTAAAGTAATCTTATTATTCATATTAAGTACTGTTACAGATAGTAAGGAGAAAGCTTGTAATATTCTTAAGCTGTTTTAAGTGTTTCAATCCTAAGGAATTAAAACTATATTAATTTTGACTCTGATAAAATCTAAATTTCTGGTAATTAAAAACACGTTTCAAACCAATAGATATCCAGAAGTTTATAAAGACTAGTTTATCAGTTACTTTCTCAGTTTCAGAAGTAAACAATAACTGATGCGCTTTCACTATGATACTAAACTATTAAACTTGTAATCATATTATTAATTGCTGGTCCAGGAGTATGTGAAACATTGTTCTCTTTATTTTAATTTCCTCTTTCAAAACCTTTTAGACCATAATATGCAGTTGGCATATTAGAAAGACAATTGATTCAAAACAGTATCAACATTAAACTGTAAAAAAAGTCAATAAATTGCATACTTAACATTTTTAATTTAATAATATTAATCTCAATTTTATCAAATTGCTAAAAATGTAATTTGATGCTATATATATGGCTTATATAAATATATAAATATATAAATATATACATATATATATATATATATATATATATATATATATATATATATATATATATATATATATATATATATATATATATATATATAATATATTTAAACATAAACACATACTATAAGAATTTCTCACCCTTCCAAATTCACCATAATATGGCAGTAAATCAAAACAGTGACTTTGATTCTGGACATGTGTGGTTTGCACCCAAAGTGGACTATTGTAGGCCACCAATTCATTACATGGACATGCTGGCATTTCTATATTCTTATTATTGATAGCTAGAAAATGTGAAAAAGTAACAGACTAAAAATGTTTTTTAATTTAAAAAAATTGTTATTAAAAATGTAAGTAAATTAAAAATCTCTTTTGATAATTTAGTTCTCCAATTTTAATTAATAATATATATATATATATATATATATATATATATATATATATATATATATATATATATATATATATATATATATATATATATATATATAGGCTAAATATTAATATAACAATATAGGCTATATATATATATATATATATATATATATATATATATATATATATATATATATATATATATATATATATATATATATATATATATATATATATATATATATATATATATATAGGCTTAATAAAAATATATATAAAGAGAGAAAGTGCATAGAGAAAAATATTGACAAATAAAAACAAATATATAGATGCACTTTTTAAAAACAAATTCATACATTTGTTGTTGCTTGTCTCTACACATACTAGCACTTTTAAGTAATTATCGTGTGTTTATTGCAGAACTCTTTATCTTTCAAGAAAACACAATTTAAAAAAAAAATATATATCTTTAGCAGGCTTAGTTATCTGCCATTTTAAGGTTGCGCCTTTAGAGAATACAACTTTATTATCATATCAAATATCATAATGATGTCTGATTCATGTGTAACATATAACAAAAACTATGATTCAAATACACTACACACGATTTTGCTTACCAAGCAAAACCATAATTTGCTAATGCAACGTTATTTATAGCTCATTATATTTAAATTTTTAAAAAATATAATAATTAATGTCATTTACCAATCAATTCAGCAACAGAGGCTGATCGATACCATGATCTACACATCATTTTATAGTTGTCTTTTTCTCCAACTTTGATAAACCATTGGCCAGGTGCTCCTGACAATTTACAACCGAGAGAGTATGGTTATATTAATTCATAATAATGCTTTCACTATCTGTATGTTTACTGTTTGCATTTAAACTTAAAAGACAGCACAATTTACAAGTTTGTATATTTTTTAGCCTTTAATCTATATGCCCATAATATGTAAAAATATTTTTCAATATGTATTATTTTGCTAATAGTAAAACAAATATAATAACACCATAAACTATAACATTTAATAATCCTTATAAATTAGTTTTTAAATTTAAACTAAGCTAAATGGTTTAGTAGTCTTGAAAATCAAGGCGCAAAGCCTGGACAGAAGTTTAGAAGAGCCAGGTGTTGCCCATGTATCAGTTCCTCTCTCTCTCTCTCTCTCTCTCTCTCTCTCTCTCTCTCTCTCTCTCTCTCTCTTTATTCGTGCAAATTTATGACAACAACGGACATGCATTACTATACAACATGACACCAGCTTAGTAAGCTTACATTTGGTAATCCAAATGGGCTGTATGATTTAGGAGTTTTCTCTCCTACATGGGTTGGTTTCCCCAGCAATTCATTCTTATCTTACCGGTGGTTAAAAATCGAAACTCTAAGGGTTTGCAACCACGCTGACCCATTTTTTAACGTAGGAAGATAATTTTTAACCTACCTGTATTTCCCAGAACTCGGTCAAACATATAATACGACAATCTGGATGTGCTGAAGTTTTGTTTTCCCCACCCAATCTCAACGTTCCTTGCCGACAATAGCTTGAATTGCATAGCTCCTTGCATATATAGATAAATAGCATAGGTTGTGTAGCCATCGGTCGCAATAACGCACTGGAATGACACACGCTGAAAAAAAAATGGAAATGTTTTATAAGCATTGCGAAATAATGTTTGTTTAAAATGTTGTGTTTGTTTTAGTTTTAAGCAAGCATATTTAATATTGGCTAATAGTTGCATATACAAATTTAATATTTGTATACGCTATATGTTAAGTTAAATTTTTGTATATATGTTTGGTGATACTGAAGGTTGGAAATTTAGTTCTATTGGAAGTCGAAAAACACAAAAACTGAAATAAACAAATGAAATAACTACAACACGAAGCCAGAAAAATTAAATTAAATTACAATTAACACAAATAGTAGCAAGAAAATTACAAACATAAGGAATATAATTAGAAACATATCAAACATGATGATTCGGAGCCAACATTTATTTCATTTAATCGCTGGACATAGCTCTCTCCTAATCGAATTTTATCACTAAATTGAGCATGATTCTAACCGTAACTGGATTCTTAAATTATAGGCATACTTATATCGTCCAAAAACACAAACCTTAAATCTATTTAATTAAACGAACTATAATTCCCAAATATTGAATTTGTATAATTTTTTTATTATAATTAAAAAAAAATAATGTATCATTTTTTATTTCAAAAATATAACAAACCTATTGTTAACTACGAGGCCTAATTCTCTGTTTCTTCATTTATATAATGCTCAGGGCAAAAAAAAAAAAGTAAAAAAAAAAATTGTCTCCTGTCAAAATACCTCACACAAGTTTTAATATCTAATTGGACACAGGTGCTGCTGAATCAGATAAAGCACAGAGCACAATGCAATATTTATGTGGTTTTTTGATGTTTTGTTTCATAGTAGATAGCAATGTTTGCAAATTCTACCAGAAGTGATAGAAATAGCTTTAATGGCGATATTATTTTTTTTTAAAATAATAAATCCCAACACTAAAAGTTGGAGTAGAATTCAGTGTAGGTTTATTTTATTTTACAAAAATGTAAAAAATCTACATTGGTTGTTCACCTCACCATTTCGGTCTATTCACCATGTCGATCCAGTAGAATAAAATAGAACATGTATGAATTAAAAAACAAAAGTTCATAAAACTGTACCTCGTTTCTATGATTTCCTGCAACGGGCACTTTAACCCATGTGACTACAATAACGACGGTGGAAGTGTAGGTTGAAGAGCTAGCATATCTAACAATGTCGCTGTTCGCCCTTTCACATGCTTTAGAGGATTTTTCTAGCCAGCACTTGTAAACCTAAAGATTTTTTTAAAGACATCATCAGCATAATGTTAAATATATTATTTTAACATATTTGAAGAAAAAATAAAATTATACGTGGACATTACCTTACCTAAAAATAGTTTATTATTTTTAAACGTGTATATTAAGCACATACTTTAATCTATTATATTTAAACAAATCTAATTTACGACAGATATTTGTAAATATTTCTAAAACTAAATATTCTAATTACTAGGACCTATATGAATTTCTTTTAAACCTCTTTTGACTCCGCAAGACCCATGGTTTTATTTTGCTTTATTCGAACTTGTTTAATGAGAAAAAAATTGCACACACATCTATGATGCTTTTTCGTAATTTTGCATTTAAAAAAAAAATATATAAGTAAAGTGCGGAGAGCTATTTCATAATTATTTAATGTTGTAATTTAAAAAAAAAACGATGACCATCTTACTTTTTAATTCAAAATAATGCATGAAAACTCAAAGAAAACATACATGATAATAAACCTGTCCCTCATCGCCATCTGTGAGCTCAAGGTCTGTCCAGTACGGAGCCAACAGAGGTCGAGGATTTCCTTTTTTATCTAACACTGGCAGTCGCTGGGGCGTGAAGCTGGAAAACTCCTCGCCAAAACTTATCAATCCATTCACGGATATCTGTTAGTTACGTAGTGTTTTTAAATATTTGCTGAAGCATTAATATAATTTACCAAAGCAATTATAGCCTATAATTAAGATAATCCTAACTATACATTTTAAATTAAATCACTTTGTAAACTTACCCACAGGTATTGAAATAGTGTGTTTTCATATGGTATAAAATCTTCTACATAAATTTTTGCAGAGGCGAATTCCCTATTCCTTGGTAATGTTTCATCCATTGACAGAACTCCATATGGATATGCACCTAGAATATATTAATAAAACGTGTCAAGATAAACTTTTTCTGACAATAAAACTTTTTATAGACATGCACATTTATAAATGCGTCCATTGTTTGTATGCATATTTATGACATTTTACAAATCTTTTATATTAGAAAATATATTACTATATGACTCACGATGTGTTGAGAAACAAATAGAGACAATTAAAAAGATATATTGGGTAAAATGTGCTCTTATTTTTAATTTGTGTAATGTTTCTCAAAAATATTTTTTGGCTCTTCGTCATAAAATATCTTCAAAGGCTACAATTATAAACGTGCTTTGCTTGTACGACCTTCGAGCAACGAATTAATTTGATAATAACTATTTATCCTGGTTCGCACTATTCTTGGCTTATTAAAGTGTTTATACGGCTAAAAAGACTTTTAATTTTCAATTCTGTAATTAATTTAGATAACTTTGAAATCACGATGTGCTAAAGAAAAATAAGTACTTTATTTCAGATATCAATATTAAAATAATGGATGGAAATTAATTCCCAAAGTAAACAAGTTAATGTTTATTTTTAATTGTGAACATATATGTCATTGATTGTCAATTTTGTTGGTTTATTATATTAGTCAAACGTATTCAAGTTTTCATCATTCGCAAATGTTATTACTTATCCTAGTTGAATATTAGACTTTTGCATTTGTTAAATAATTATTAATGGAAAACTTAAATGCTGCTTATAAAAAAGTTCACAAAACCAGAAAATTCTGATTGTGAAGAAAACAATGATAAGAGTGGAACGCTCATCAACGTAAGTAGCAAACATACCTGTGTTAGTGTAGGTATCCGAGTTTTAATTTTCTTAAATATTCTAAATTTAATTATTTATAAACAGACATTTTTTTGAACATCAAATAATGACATTGTATTTATTTAAATTCTAAAACAAATGCTAGAAAATTGTGGGCATCATTTTATGATTATAAAACATGGTTAATTTTAAATATTTTATTTGAACATACGTGGTTCTGATGGCCTGCAGAGAAAAGAAATTTGGGAAAAAAAATAAATTAATAACATAGACGTCTATAAACGTTAATGTATTTCTTTAAAACTCAATTGCGACCACCATATATATTGTTTTCAATGCAAATAACAAGAAAGTGATAGCTTTAAAAATTAAAGTGTGCACAATAAAAAGTGACGATGTTTATCTATAACAAAAGATTATAAATGTAGCTGTATGTAGCACAGTTTTCTCTTAAGTTAGCAATATTACATCGTTGTGTCACCCCGCCCTCCCCTTGTCAGGATCATCAATGTGTACATTTAAATCTAATTAACCGTAAGTGAACAAGCAAAAACATGTCACTTCTATATGTTTGCAATGTTTTACCTTGGTGTCTACCTTCTAATGATGTTTACCCGTGTTTTGTATTGAAAACATGCAAGGGAAAGAACTAGTTTAACATCTTTAGTATTATAATAAGAGTAGTGTCCCTTGAGCAGATCTTCTAGATCATGTGGTAGCTAATCTTATAATCTAATGCAGTTATCACAATCACCAATCCAAACATCCACTAACAAAATGAAAAACATGACAAATTTAGCATGCGCATTTTTTTTGTTTCTTTAAAGAACTTACTTGCAGTGCCACTCGGTCATATTGTTGTTGACTGGCTCACAGAATTCGTACGCCTCACATGTAATGCATTTTGCTGCTTCTGCATAGATAATTTGTGCATGGATGTTAATTACTTTTAAAAAATTAAGTCACATGTTTATAACTTTTTAAATGGTAATATGATCCTTCAATTTGTAAGAGAGAACAAAATCATATTGTAAAATTATTATCTGTGTTAGATCACTGTCTATATGTCTGTACAAGATCAATGTTAAAAATATAATATAAACATATGTTCGTATATATACAATATATACATAGGCTATACAACGTCTGATTTGGTTTCGACTGTTGATTTGCTTCCAACAATATCTTCAGATCAATTGAACTCTAGCCCAGGCTTACATCACTTAATGGGCTTTAGCCCTTTGTTGCTTCATCAAGCTCTAATGTTGTCGCTTAAGCGCCTTCCTGGAACCTAACTTTTTTCACTTACTATTTACTAGTTTAGCTCACTGTATTATTTTAATTATAGTGAAGGCAGTGTGAAGAGCAGCGAGTGTTTGTTTATTGGATGACAAAGCGTGTAATTGTAAGACAATTATATTGATTCTGTTTAATTAGTTCATTATATTGATTTTTTGTTTATAACATCTCTTTTTCATTGATATTTTATTATCTTTATGCATTGTCTATTTTCATCATCCTGGCCCTCACAAAGTGGGCTAAAATTGGGCCATTTAAATATTTTCCACATATTTAATAAACACCATGAAGTTCTAAAAATTTTAAACAATTCCAACAATCCTTTTCATATCTTTGGTTTCTCTGAAACTCGATTACAATCTTTTATAAATGATGTTGAGATATCCGTCTCTGATTATAACCTAATACGCCGAGACCCATCCTTACACAAAGAAACTGGCCTTTGTGTCTATGTCCACTCCTCAATTCGTTTCAAGTACAGGAAGGATCTGTCAACGGACAATATAGAATGTATTTGGATTGAACTCGAAAAAAGCAAACACCATCCGGCAATTTTAATTTGCTTCCTTTATAGAAATCCCTGTGAAAACATGGATTGGTATGATCGTTTTTGCTCCATGATGGATACCGTTTTATCTACTAACAATGAATATATCATATTGGGAGATTTTAATATAAATTTATTAAAACCTCAAGGATATTGGCAAGATATTATTGATTCTTTGAATCTAAAACAATGTGTGCACACGGCTACCAGGGTAAATGATAAATCAAGTACAATAATTGACCACATATACGCATCACCTGACTGCAACCTAATAGAGGTCTGTGTCCCCTCTTGTGGTGTTAGTGACCACTTCCCTGTTTGTTGTACTTTTTCGACAAAAAGATTATGTGTACCTTCGCGGCAACACATAACTATAAGTTATCGCTCTTTTAGAAAATTTAATGAAAATCTTTTTCTTTCGGATTTATTGGCTGCCCCCTTCTGCAATGTATACAATTATAATTGTCCCGATCTTGCCATTTCTGAATGGCTGCGTATTTTCTATACTATATATGACAAACATATTCCTAAAATCTCTAAAAGAGTTAAGACTACATACAAACCTTCTTGGTTTAACAACAATATCGAATCTGCAATTAATAAAAGAGACTGGCTTAAACGTTATGGAACTTCTGAGGACTTTTGTGGGCAGCGAAATTATGTCAAACTGCTCGTGCGTAGGTCGAAGAAGGAGTATTTTAATAAGCTGCTGTCAGGCAAACCTAATTCCAAATCTATCTGGACTGCTATAAATCAAATAATTAGAAAAAAAACGCACATGTAATACAGCTGGACATTGCCAGATATCTGCTGATGACTTTAACAATCATTTTATATCATCTGCAGCGCTCAACACAGATGCTGATTACACAATCAGTGAGGAGCTTAAAAATTTTTGTAATTCTGCTCACCGTGGTAGGACAGAGCTGATCATTCCGCTTCTCACTGTTCATGAAGTATATGTTAGCCTAAGATCTCTTAAACCGTCTTCAACAACTTCGTTTGATGATATTTCTAATAATGTATTGAAGATTTCAGCTCCAATAATTTCCGAAGTTTTAACCTATGTCTATAACCTCTGTATTGCCAAGCATTATTACCCGACACATTTTAAGCATGCTAAGGTTATACCACTACACAAAAAAGGTAACATCCAAGATGCTAATAACTACAGGCCAATTTCTATACTTTCTTCGATCTCCAAGCCACTAGAAATACATATAAACAAATGCATTTCAAATTACCTAGAAAAGCTCAAGCTTTTCCATAGTAATCAGTCTGGGTTTAGAAAGTTTCATTCTTGTCACACTGCTCTGATTAAGATGAATGAAAACTGGCTTATAAATATTAACAAAAACCTACTCTGTGGCTCGCTGTTTGTCGATTTCAGAAAAGCCTTTGATTCTATTGATCACACCATACTTCTTAAAAAACTAATTCCATACAAATTCCACGACTTTACAGTTAGGTTACTTCACTCCTTTTTATCTAACCGATCTCAACGCGTGTTTCACCTTAATACCATCTCTTCACAGAAATATGTTAATATAGGGGTTCCACAGGGCTCAATCTTAGGTCCTTTACTTTTTTCTTTATACATTAATGATCTTCCATTACATATTGACGCTGGTCAGTGCGAGATGTTCGCTGATGATACTTCTTTGCATGTCTTTGCAGACAGTGCTGAGTCACTCAGTTACAAACTTCAAACATGTGCCAATCAGCTTGCTACTTGGACAAAATTTAACAAAATGAAACTTCACCCCGATAAAACCAAGTCAATGTTTATTACAACTCATCAGAAACGCCTTCGTCTTCCATCCACCGCATTAAACATTACTATAGACAATTCAAACATTGAACAGGTAGACAGTTACAAATGCCTAGGATTGTTTATAGATCACAACCTCACTTGGTCTGACCATATACATTTTCTAAGAATGTCCTTATTAAAGACAACCTTTCAATTAGCTAGGATAAAGAACTTTCTCAACTATAGGAGCAGGCTGGTTTTTTATGAAGCTTTCATTCAATCTAGGTTGGATTATGCTTCTGTAGTGTGGAGCGGCAGCTTTATATCTAAGCAGCGTCCTCTTCTTTCTTTACAAAAAAGGGCTATAAAACTGGTTACTGGCTTGTCTAGTAGTCTGGATTCTTTTCTCTCTACTAAAATACTTCCATTAAATAAAAAGATAATATATACTAAATCAATTTTCTTATATAAAATATTCCACGAAACAGCCCCCTCTTACTTATCAGATCTGTTTTCTTTTAACATAAAATTAAATCGTCGTCTTAATTTACCATTCCCTTATTCAACCTTTTTCCAAAAACATAGCTTCGCCTACTCTGGTTCTAGTTTGTGGAACAATCTTCCTAATAAAATAAAGCTATCTAGATCTGAAAATATATTCAAATCTAAACTAAAACTAAAATTATTTAATGACCTAACTGACTCATTGTAACATTTCTCATTCATCTATTATATTCTCTTTTTTATCTCATTATGTATGATATCTATGTACCATTGTTTCTTTATTCCACATTTTCAGTGCTATGTGTTACTGCTATGTGTTATTGAATTGCTTTATTTGTTTAAACGGCCAATGTGAAAAAAGGCCTTTGTGCCTACAATTGTAACCGTTGTTTGAATAAATTTGAATAAATTTGAAATTTGAATACACACACACACACACACACACACATATATATATATATATATATATATATATATATATATATATATATATATATATATATATATATATATATATATATATACAATGAATACTCACGCAGTACATCCGTGACATTTTCTAACATCGACATAAACACATGATAATTTGTCTCTAAATCATTCATGTTGATCAAGGCGTTAGCCACCACCAAACGTACTTCAATGTCGAATGCAGTGTCGTATTCGAGAACAAAATAATATATAAAAAGTTCAAATTCAACTATAGTGTAGCTACTACTAGGCCTGGTGAGGAGATAAAATAAATGTATAGATAATACAAACACACACAAATATAAATACACATACAAACACGCAGAAACACACAGATATTATATACATATATATATATATATATATATATATATATATATATATATATATATATATATATATATATATATATATATGATTTCTAACTATTATGCCACATATAATTACAAATATACTGTTTGTGCGTTAATGCTTTAATCTGTTTTCTTAATTGGCTATTACTAACCATACTTACCGAAGCATACTAACGGCAATATACGTAGAATTTAAAGAGGCATATGACGTCTTGTTAATGTATTTAGCCAAGTACTTCTTCAACTGCATACATATTTAAATACTTTTTAGATAACTGAATTATATATATATATATATATATATATATATATATATATATATATATATATATATATATATATTATATATATATATTTATAGATACAAATATATATATATATATATATATATATATATATATTTATAGGCTTTTATATATATGTTGCCTATATTTTTTGGTTTCAGTGTAATATTTTTTTTTAAATTTTTCTTATTAATCTGGTAGTCTTCGGGTAAATAGAGTATAGTTCACCTGTTACTGTGATTTTGGCATATAAACATATTGCGTGGTTAGCACTATATATAGCCGCCTTTTTCGCCATACGTGAGTCAGGTATCCATCAAGGCTTATAGAACTTAGGAACCTCCTGCGGACTCGATCCTGGAATCCAAACTCGAAACTTTGGGCTCAGTAGTCGAGAGCTCTACCGATCCGACAGATTGTCTCCTTATTAGTATCATTATTACACACCGTGTCAAAGTGAATGCATCATAATTTTAAATCAAGTGTTTTTAGAAACAAAGGTGATTGCTACAAAAATTATAAATGCTACTTACTGATACAGCAAAACGTCTTTTTAATATATTGTTCTCGTCTGTTCCGTTAATCGACTTATTCCCACTAACAGCAGGGGAAATCCACACTTCACCTCTTACTGTTTTTAGTAATGACACAATTGTTTACAATTATAATTAAACCGATATACACTGCGTGTGTATTTTTAAACATATGCGGTTTATAAAGATATCTTGATGTAATAATAGAAAAGAATCCTAGCGATTTATTTGGCAGATGATGAAGAGTTGATGTTTCTTGGACTTGGTTTATGAAGGTGTTGTCAGCATTTTTTCGAAATTTTTAATTTTTATGATTATTTTATTTATAACTTTGTAAACTCATTGAAATAAATATGGGGTAAGTTAGGGTCGATAAGGCAGAATGGAGTTCATCAGCCAGAGAGTGCCTAACTGACTTTCCTTATCTTGAGCTAGGTACCCGTCAGAGGTGGATTAACTTCTATACCCCAGTCTTGTTGGTTAGCATAGTGTTCTAATACACGACCATAGCGTCTCAATGATAACGCATAAAATTATTAAGTAATTTTAAGTTATAGTGTGTGCAAGACAAACAGATTTACAATTTTAAAAACTAATTAATTTATATTTAGTTAAAACACACACTTAAAAGGAATAGTTTGAACTTCTGTTTTTTTTCTGTTTAAGAAACAATTTTAAGATTTATTAACTATCAATAAATGTTCATAAATTAATTAATTAATGCAAACTCAGAATAAAAGGATTAATATTAAATAAAACCTTGACAATAGAAACAGTGGCGTAGCGACTCTTCCCGGGACAAACTTTCAATTTTCGATTTGCACCCCCTCTAACTTTCGATTTGCAACCCCCCCCCCCCCCCATCGAACTTTCGATTTGCAACCCCCATCAAACTTTTAATTTGCACCTCCCCCCCCCCCTCAAATTTTTCTCTATATATTTTTACTATTTTTAGCCTTGTGTCACCCCCTAAATGGTGTCATCCGGTGCGGTCCGCATCCCACCCCTCGCTACGCCTCTGATTAGAAACAAACATACAACCTAAGCCAATTAAACAAAGAACAAACTCGTTTGTAGTCTTTGTCAATAAACCACAGACCCCACAAAATAAGTTAATCATACATGTACCTGCTAATGCCGACGGTGAACCTCCACTGTAATCCTCAAGTGACCGTTTCACCCGTACCGTCCCACTGTTATACTTCACAAGAATATATTCATCTTCTTCCTTGTTAGCCACCATCAAATCATCGTCTTTGTCTGTCTCGTAGACATAAACGTTTCTTGATCTTGCTTTACCTCCCTTGATATTTTGATGTTTATCGGATTTGGTACGTGCTTTTGGGTTCTGTGTTGTTAACTCTTTAGCTACAGGAACAAATTGTAATTTATCTTCCCAAGGATTGCTTGGTCTAGGATATGCAGTGGTTGATTGGAGCCCGCCTTTAAAGTACTCTGTTATATAGCTTTGGTCGTTGCTTGGTTTAATTGTTGTATGAGAAACATAATGTCCCTGTTTTGAGTTGTCTGCAATAATTTTTAATGTCAAATACATCAATTTAAAGCTTTTAGTATCCACACACACACACACACACATATATATGTATATATATATATATATATATATATATATATTTATATATATATATATATATATATATATATATATATATATATATATATATATATATATATATATATCGATGGTCTCGGTCGCAAACCGTCTAACTCCGAAAATGTAAATTTTACAGGAGAGACAAAAAACTGATTATTTCCTTCTCGATCGCTCTAATACAAATATTTTTTAAAGATATCTCCGAAGAAACTCTCTACCGACTATACTGTAGCGTTTTAAAATGGGTTTTGTTGATATTTCCAACAATATAGCAGGTTTAAAAAGATAGACGGTTTGCTCGGTCTAAAATTCTCGGTGCAAGCCGTCTATCTTTGCGCGCGCAGACTTAGCTGTTTTGAGCCGAGAATTTCGGTCTCAGCCGCGTTCGTTCGTTTTGTCCGATGAACGTGATTTAGTTATTTTTATGTTTTTAAGTTATAATTAACACTTCATAATATTTAGATGATAGTTTTGGGCTCATGTTTTAATTATTTGAGTTTATTCTGCATTATGGGGTCAGTTTAATTTTTAATAGAGATGTTTTAGTATGGCTTTATCGCTTTCAAGTGTATTCATTATGTCTGTATTTAGAAATAGACTTGTTAACTGTTGAAGCTTATGCTTTATTTATCTTTCTATTCTCACAGTTTATTTTACTAAATCTGGTGGGTGCTGGGTTTGTAGGATGATAATAGTAAAAACAGAAACTGTATTGTCAGATATATTATGACCATATGAGAGAGGCTGATATGTCAAGAGAGGCTGTCTGTTGAGAGAGGCTGGTCTGTTGATTGAAACTCGTCTGTTGAGAGAGGCTGGTCTGTTGAGAGAGGCTGGTATGTTGAGAGAGGCTGGTCTGTTGAGAGAGGCTGATATGTCAAGAGAGGCTGTCTGTTGAGAGAGGCTGATCTGTTGAGAGAGGCTGGTCTGTTGATAGAAACTCGTCTGTTGAGAGAGGCTGGTCTGTTGAGAGAGGTTGGTCTGTTGAGAGAGGCTGGTCTGTTGAGAGAGGCTGGTCTGTTGAGAGAGGCTGGTATGTTGAGAGAGGCTGATCTGTTAAGAGAGGCTGGTCTGTTGAGAGAAGCTGGTATGTTGAGAGAGGCTGTTCTGTCGAGTGTGGCTGGTATGTTGAGAGAGGCTAGTATGTTGAGAGAGGCTGGTCTGTTAAGAGAGGCTGATCTGTTAAGAGAGGCTGGTCTGTTGAGAGAGGCTGGTCTGTCGAGATAGGCTGATCTGTTAAGAGAGGCTGGTCTGTTGAGAGAGGCTGGTCTGTCGAGTGTGGCTGGTATGTTGAGAGAGGCTGGTATGTTGAGAGGCTGGTCTGTTGAGAGAGGCTGATATGTTGAGAGGCTGGTCTGTTGAGAGAGGCTGGTCTGTTGTGTTGAGAGAGGCTGGTCTGTTTCGTTGAGAGAGGCTGGTCTGTTGTGTTGAGAGAGGCTGGTCTGTTGAGAGAGGCTGATATGTCAAGAGAGGCTGTCTGTTGAGAGAGACTGATCTGTTGAGAGAGGCTGGTCTGTTGAGAGAGGCTGGTCTGTTGATTGAAACTCGTCTGTTGAGAGAGGCTGGTCTGTTGAGAGAGGCTGGTCTGTTGAGAGAGGCTGGTCTGTTGAGAGAGGCTGGTCTGTTGAGAGAGGCTGATCTGTTAAGAGAGGCTGATCTGTTGAGAGAAGCTGGTCTGTTGAGAGAGGCTGGTATGTTGAGAGAGGCTGGTCTGTTGAGAGAGGCTGATATGTCAAGAGAGGCTGTCTGTTGAGAGAGGCTGGTCTGTTCAGAGAGGCTGATATGTTGAGAGGCTGGTCTGTTGAGAGAGGCTGGTCTGTTGAGAGAGGCTGGTCTGTTGTGTTTAGAGAGGCTGGTCTGTTGTGTTGAGAGAGGCTGGTCTGTTGAGAGAGGCTGGTCTGTTGAGAGAGGCTGGTCTGTTGAGAGAGGCTGGTCTGTTGAGAGAGGCTGGTATGTTGAGAGGCTGGGCTGTTGAGAGAGGCTGGTCTGTTGTGTTTAGAGAAGCTGGTCTGTTGTGTTGAGAGAAGCTGGTCTGTTGAGAGAGGCTGATATTTTGAGAGGCTGGTCTGTTGAGAGAGGCTGGTCTGTTGTGTTGAGAGAGGCTATTCTGTTGTGTTGAGAGAGGCTGGTCTGTTGAGAGAGGCTGGTCTGTTGAGAGAGGCTGGTCTGTTATGTGGTAAGACTGGTCTGTTGTGAGAGGCTGGTATGCTGAGAGAGGCTGGTATGTTGAGAGAGGCTGGTATGTTGAGAGAGCGTGGTGTGTTGAGATAGGCTTGTCTGTTGAAAAATTAATCATAAAAGCATCTACTAAAGACAACTAACCATGTCGTTCAACATGTACGCCAAACACTTTGTAACCTACCATATAAACATTTCTTATCACGTATCTAAACCCTCAATCTAAAGCTAGTAGTGAATTAACAATTATTAAATTTATTGCACATTAGTGTGGAAATATAATTCGAATTATATTGTTTTGATTGATATTTAGATTATAGAATGAAGATCTAGTTTCAAAGCATTGTGTTAGCCTAAAAATTGTAAACAAATCAGTTTGGTTATTGAAAATCTGGAAATAGGCTATATTAAACAAATACTATTTGTTTATTATTCTTTAAAATGATAAAATGTAATAGAATAGTTGAACATACTTAATCAAATATCCTTACCTATAAGTACTGTGACGGCTGTGCTGTAAAATTGTGTGATTACGGCGTGCGACTGCGTTCCCGATCAAAAGTGTACTGACAAATATAGCGATATTCGTTTTGCGCCGAGATTTTTAGCGCTAGAAATAATAGGCGGTTTGTTCAAATGATTATATCTCAATAATCATTCTACAGATTTCTCTAATATTTTCAGGCATTATGGGGAATCATATTGGCTTTTGATTTATGTAAAAAAAAGAAAATCGAATTTTTTTGAGTTAGACGGTTTGCGACCGAGACCATCGATATATATATATATATACATACATTCAACTATAGAATATTTTGTAGACAATGTTTTGCTGAAAACAATTTTGTCTTCCAGACAGCAGCTACCACACGGACCCCTATACACTACTATACCTTGGAGTACGACTATAAAGTATATTAAGAGTCATTAATAAATGAATTACTAATCTTGAGTGTTAAGAAGGTATTCTACGCTAATAAAGCGTAACCAACCTTTGATGTAATGTTTTAAGTCTTCATCCATTTCTGTTACTCTCTGGTTTGTTTCTGTAGTGGTTGAAGTTTTGCTGGCATGTTCTGGCTTAGCTGTTAATAAATAGATTGTAGCTTATACGTTGCCAAGAAAAAACACGGGTGCTTACAAGAGAAAACTTAAAATTAAACACGTGACTAGTTACAGCACTTTCATGCTGTCGTTTTGATAAAATGTAATCTATGTACTGAACGCGACAAATTTCCACTTGTTTTTCTAATGACACACATCATAAAATGTGTAAAAATATATTGCATACTTCGCGTTTCTAAATATTTTGAGAATGAGACCTACATTTATAATCTTGAATAGATCGTTTTTACAACATATGTTTTCATCACAGGTAATCAATTTATTTTTCTATCCTTTAAAAGCCTAACTTGGTACAAGCATTTCGATTTGATTTAAAACTACCAATTCGTACTGATGTATAGCCAAAATAAAAATCGACTCCCGAAGGTAATTTTTATCAACTTGTATGGTCATATAAACAAAAATGCTATTTGATTAAAAAAAACAGGTGTTACGTCCCTTACATGTCCCCTGCTTGTGTGTGTGTGTGTGTGTTGTGTGCTGGAACAACAGGTACCCTCCCTTTGGTGTATAGCTGTATCCCTTGGTTGAGTGTGTTTACATGGAGCGAGAGGTGTTCACGTGAGGTGTGTCAGGTGACGGGTGTCAAAGCGTGTGCTAGTGTGTGAAGCAGTTAGTTGTAGTGTGGCTGTGGACGTGGAACGTGGTGTTGAGTATTGTTATTCATGTTGTAGACCCCTTTGATCTTGTTATTATTTTAGTACTGTATATATTATTAAATATCTTATTATTATTGTTGTTATAGAGTGTTAGTGTTATCTACTGTTGTATACGTTGTATTTGTCTGTTATATATATACACACCTAGACAGAAGAACCCAACAACAGGCAATGGTTTATTTCCATTAAAAAATACCCCTCAAATACCCTTTAACTAACCTGTAATTTCTATAAATATTTCCTCGACAGTGACGTCATCTAACAACTCTGACCATAATGGCTTCCTTGTGGTTACATCTACTTTCTCTACACTTGAGGTATCGGAATTATTCCTGCTGATCCCTGCAAAAGTGATTAAATGTTATAAATCTAACAATCCTTTTATTATTTATTACCATTTAACACAGCCTCAGATGTGATATAGGTGATAGTCAAACATTGGAGTTAATTGCTGACCCTCAGAGAAAACAAAGAGCACGCTAGTGAGACACACTTTATTGTGCAGCTAAGCGTAGCCACTCGTCACACAAACCACTACCGCTTAGTCGAGGTTTAATATGATTAACGTGACATATTAGACTTATAGTTACGTATTGAGGAAATGATGACATACTAAGAGATATAATGATAGACGTGAAAATATATGATGACTAGCTTGATGTCCTATCGCTGTTCATTAGTTCTATATACTTCCATTTAAGTTTCTTGTACCGGAACATCAGGACATGACAGGTCAAAGACTCATTCACTCCAGCCCGATATCCAGGAGGCCACACGACTCCACAGAATACCGGTACAATTCGGTTGCAAGAGCAAACAACACACATGAGAACAAGCGGACCAACAAGGCCCGCAATCCAAATAGATCATGATTATGCCTCTTAGATGGTTACACCTTTCATATGTCATTGTGTTACAATAGTATAATAACCTTAAAGATTTTTATATGTTTATGTTAGGTGACTTTTAATCGAAACAAACCTTTACACACATAATAAATGCATTCTTTCCTTTATATAGAAATGTTAGCGTTATTTTTATGTCCCTATATATTAATGGATGTATGTGTGTGTATGTCAAATAGCTCTTATGCAGCAAAATGGTCGATAATAAGATTTACAATTAGGTTAATTAATACAAAGCTTTTAGGTATACATGAAGGAGCAGCAGTAATTTAAACTTCATAGGGGCATGCTGTTTTAGGATTTGTCTACATGTGCTAGCTCACAGCTTTACGTACTTAAATCAACTATAAATACACAATAATAAATGGAAAATATTACAGCGTTACGAAGGCTTACCTAAACAACTCGACTCGGTTTACCTTACTCGAGTATGTAGGTTGCCTAATAGTCCTCTTAACTCAAACGGAAGCCTGACTAAAGTTTTATGTAAATGCAATGGAAATTGATCACAATTTAGATCATACACTATTATTCTTGTGTGTCGACATAAAAAAGAAAGGTTAGCTCTACTTTGCCTGCCTAATTGAACTTCAGGGTCAAAGCCAATACTGCATTCTTTACTAGGTGAATTCAAGAAAGCACAAACGTTTTGATATTTTAATCTAAAGCTGTTTGTATTTTTTCTTTTATTGCACCCTGGCAGAACTTGATATTGTTAATGTTATTTAGAACTTAAAGGTGAAATAGGAACACAGTTATGTCCCAAGCCGCCGCGCGTAACGACATATAATACTAGAAGCACGGTATCTGGTGCATGACGATAAGAACACGGTTCCAGCACAATGGTTTTTCTCTAGGTCACCTATTTATTCTTAAAAACGTAGTTTGTGTTTGTCTTTTGCTTGGCAGGTTTCATAAAAAAAAAAAGACTCAAGTTGTTTTTAAATTTTAGAATGAAACATCTCAGTTTTTAATGTTTTTCTTTTTAAATGTCAGTAATAGAAATAGTGTGTGATTAATAGTGTGATAATAAAAGTGTGAATATAAGAATCACACTTTTAAAAATGTTTATATTTTAGTGGTGCACTTTTCAAAACAAAATATCAATCTAACTTAACACAAATTTATTGTGCTATAGCCACATCGATCTCACCTGTATTGTTTAATGCGATGTCCATTGTTTCAAAGGCTGCTTGTGTAAAATTCTCATGCAGTTGCTGGTTACCAATATCTGTACTTTCATCGCTCTTGCTTTCATTCGCGTTTATAACTACATATGAAACAGTCATATTCTTATTAATTTTGATTGAATAAAAAAAAATATAAATTTAGGTACATGTGTAGGGAATCATGCTCGTAATTCAGATAGAGTCATTTGACATTGTGTTATAGCCACATCGATGATTCCAATTCTTGTGAAAAATAAATATCTCTGGAAAGGATACTGACGGAGTTTAAATTTAATACATATAAAAAAGAACAACTTTTAACTGAACCTGATTTCTCTTCTATGGTGCTCGTTGCCTCTTCTATAGATACTGACAAGTTTCCGTAGAGTGGGTGTTGGTTACCCAGTTCTGTGCTTGTGTTGCTAACACTTTTATTCAGCATAAAATCTGAAAACAAAGAATATTTAGTCTATATAAAAACATTTATGCTTCCGTGAGTAAGTGTGGTTGTGTGTGTGTGTGTCTCTGTGTGTGTGTTTGTGTGTGTGTGTGTGTTCAGTTTACCAAATACACTGTAGCAAAAGAAATGGTTTAAACTAAAGCAGTTTTTTTAAATCACCTGTAGCATTGACAGTTGATTCACCCATTTCCATGTCCCAGTCATCTTCTTCAATCGTGTCACTGATGTCTGTATGTGTTTCAATTAAGAAATCGTCTTTAAATTCTTCTACTATATCTCTCACTAGAAGATCCTTTAGCTCTTCAACATTACTTGCTGAAATATTCTTGTCGTCGAATTCATTATTATATTCTAGTAAGCAAAATGGCCAGAAACGCACATCATTGTATTTTTAAGATGTGTCGTAAAATGTATATATTAATAGCACGTTTTTATACAATTGTCATTTGAAAGTAAGACGAGAAACCAACATACACATATATGTACACTATTTCTAACAAAATACATACAAAAACAAACCAACACACACACACGCAATATATATATATATATATATATATATATATATATATATATATATATATATATACATATATATATAGGCTTATATAATATATATATATATATATATATATATATATATATATATATATATATATAATATGCCTATATTTGTAAATAATCCTTACCACTATTAGTTTCGTTGCTTTCCAAAGCAAATAACACTCCAAATATACATATAGGAACACTTAGAATGGCTGTAAACTTCATTTTTTTTTATATCCAGGAGAACTATTTATGCTACCAGCATCTAGTGTTGAAAAAATTAAGTTTTAACACAATATTTCAGGTCTCTACTTTCTTCAACTAAAACATATTATTTTGAATATATTAGATGTATCGTTAAATTAATATAACATACATTAGCCAACATATGTAACCCCTATAAATCTCATTATAATTTACCTTTAAATCAATAAAAATGTATACACTGCCTATTACTCCAGTGAAAGACTTTTATAAACTACTACCGCAATTACAAAACAAAAATATTTCCCACGAACCGCGCACAAATCTTGTTCAAGCGTCAACGGTAAGCACATAACAAACACCCTATTTATAAACATTGGGTTGCCCACAAGATAACTGAAGCCCAGCCAGTCGGAACTAACGTATTCAACAGTTTGTAAAGGGGAGGCAACAGGGAAGTAGATCAAGTTTTATCATAAAGGAAGCTTATGTCATTGCCGGATGTTTTTCCCACGTTTTCTTTAACTTGCTTTCGCGTCTGTTTGTTTGTTTGTTTGTTTGGTTCTCCAATCAAATCTTGCGATCGAAATTTCGGGCTTTTCCCAGTTAGCTAGCGCGCTAAAATTTTCATGGAAGCTTTGTTTCCGATGACAATAGAATATTCAATTGTTATTATTACTAAATTGATCCATGGAAACATTTTATTGATCATTTTAGATCCCTATATATTTTGTACAAAAAACGTGGGAAAAAAGGGACATAGCCTAGTAATTGTAATTTGATGAAAACAAGGTTCGGTACTCTCCCTCTTTTGGCTTACTGAGTAGTGGTCACGCGGTGTTTGTGTACAAACAACCGGAACGTAACAACTGGTGGCCAATATGGGGGAGACGATATGGTCGAGTGGTTGGGCACTCGATTGCTAACCCACTCGACACGGGTTCAAATCTATGTGTTCTAGTCAGTAACGTATTCACACAACAAAGCCATAACCCGCCCCTTGTAAAAACAACGCTTCGTGAATAACTAAAGGCACGTGTTTTTTACGAGTTGTCTTCGTTTACCCAAAAAAAAGTGAATGCGAGAAGATAAAATCGATAGCAAGATTTGAATGCAAACAAACGGACAAAGACTAACAAGTAGAAAATAATTATCATTAAAAAAGTTTTAAAAAAAACACGTTTTCTGATTGAACTAAAAAGTAGAAAATAAATTCTATACATCACAATAATGCAAGCGATCACTCTACTATAAGCGATGAAAAACGTGGGGCGTCGTGATTTTCTTACAGTTTCTAATAATGTTGACTCTCTACAAGCTCCCTAATAAAACTCAATAGTATTATCTAATCAATAGTAATATAACTTTTACATCTTATATTAACAATGACCGATACAAAACTTTTACTTCGGCGCCCCACGTTTTTCATCGCTTATATCTTTTTTAATGATAAATATTACTTGTAGTAACGTTTAGAGATTATTTTATTGCATAAAATGAAACGAAAATAATGTTTTAGCTTTTGAGACAGTAAGCGACCGGAACGAGAAGAAACTCTATTACCATAAGTGATATGAAGCATGTGACACAATAAGTAGAGGCGTAGACTGTCAGTGCTATAAAAGTAAAGTTAAGTTTCCCTTTCAAACATGACGGTTTATGGGGCAAGTGAAGTAGAGTTCACTTGTTTCTGTGACCTCGGCATATGAAGGGGTAGTGTGGTCAGCACTATGCCTTACGAGAGTTTATTAAATAAATAAATATAAATATAGTTGGGTGGATTCGTGGACGGTCTATTGACTTGAACCCGGATCCGAACTCGAGACATAAGGGTTAGCAGTCCAGCTCTCTACCGCTAGACCACTCCGTCCACATGTCAGTGCCATAAGGGGCTGAAAAAAGCTCATTCTGAGCAGCTTAACGTAATTGTACAGTCTAAATCAGGGGTCTCCAAACTACGGCCCGCGGGCCGGATGCGGCCCGCGAAGTCCTCTCATCCGGCCCGCGGAGATCTTTTTGTCCAATGAAAAATCATTTGTTGGCGATGGCTGAGGAAGTTTGCCCAGAAAAATCAAAGACATGCCTGGAAGAAACTGGCCCCCGAACTGAAATTTGATAGTTAATACGGCCCTCGAACTGAAAAGTTTGGAGACCCCTGGTCTAAATCAATGGTTTTTACCTGAATATGATATCGATCGAATCCCAGCGGTTCAGTGGGTCAATCTCAGGGATTCGCGGAGGTCAAAACACACCCTACTTATATGATTCATGATCGGATTTTGTCAATGCGGAAAATAAACTATTAAGAAGGATTCGGTGAATGCGCATATGAAACTAGTGGGGTTCGGTACCTCCAAAAGGGTTAAGAGCCACTGGTTTAAGTTAAAACAAATGGGCTGCTACATGGCTTTACAGAACGATTAAAATGTTATCAATAGTGATTGTACGACACCAAATAAAAATGTGATTGATAAAAAGCTCTCACCTCTCCAATTGGTAGAGGGATGGGAGGATGAGACTTTTTCGCTTACGTGAATAACTATATATAAAATTGATAGTTCACCCCCCTCCCCCAGGGCGCCAGAATGGGTCGCTACACCTCTCTTCTTCTTCTTCTTCTTCGTTCTTAATTACTAGTGTTGAAGGGGATCGAGATTTATCTGCCAGTGGGTTTGAACACGAGACTTTGTTCGAATTTATCGACCATGAGCTTTTTGCCGACTCGACCACGCCTCCAACACAATTAAGCGTTACGTGTCAACTGGTTATGCGCCATTGAGGCCATTGACTCCGATTTCAGCCTGCTTTTCTTTTTGGATTTGCTTCCATAGCCTTTGTCCAACCAAGAACAAACTACAAGGCAGCAGTTGTTTAATTTTGGAGTTGTCTCTCCTAGAAGAGTGGCTGTCCCCAGCTAACGAGCCTCATCTGCCCGAGGGTTCGAACTCGAGACTTCTCATGAGCTTTACCGACTCGACCACGCCGAACCCCTACACGTCTGATAAGAAATAATCATATAATCAATTGCAATAATTAATATTTCGAACATGACGTAGGAAGCGAATATATGCTAGAAGTCGTTACTCGTTATACCCGATGTGAGAATTAGTGAACAAAATTGATAGTAATATTTTCACAGAAATAAGTTTAGGCTCCTTATTTCCTTGTATTGGCATACACAATTTAACTAAATACCCGCTTCTTTTAATTAATTTAATGTTCATTAAAGTAAATAAATTGCAGTTGTTTCTTTTAATCTTACCAGCAAGATTGAAGCTTATATAAAACTGATCTTTTGGTGTTAAAAAAATTGCCTAATCGTAAATTCACTTAAGAAGTTATATAAGGGTTGGCTATAAAACAAATACGTAAGTTGATATACATGATTAGCCTAATTATAGAATTATGTACTTTTTAAGCCGATATATCTAGAGCGTTAAAATACATTCGATACGGATAGTTAGCCAAGCGTGTCTCTGTGTCACTTGATCATGTGCCAGACACCAGGAAGATATCAATTACATACATGGCATTATTTCATGTGTTTCTTCCAGACTTTTTTCTCCGGGGGGGGGGGGGGAGGCACTGGAAATTTTCGGGGGGGGGGGGGGGGCGGTAGAGTTTCTTCGGTTTCTATATATAAATTCCATTTCGTTCGGGGGGGGGGGGGGGCGGTAGAGATGAGATGCCTGGAAGAAACTCTGATTATTTCGTTGGGTATAATACAAAAATGTTTATATGTAAATAATCTAATTATCAAACTATAAACCAATGGCTTATCATATTAATGTTAATAAATATTAATAATCGAGGCACGTGAAGTATAGTTAACCTGTTACCGTGAATTCGGTATTCGAAGAGATAGTGGGCCAGCACTATGACCAGCCGCCTTTACTTTGGCTAGCGTAAGTCAGGTCCCCATTAGAGTTGGGTGGACTCAAACACGTACTATGACTTTAGCCAGGGACCCGAACTTGTGATGTTTGGGTTAGCAGTCGAACGATCTCTCATTCGACCATTCAAGCGGTTCAAGTAAGTAAAGCTTATTAAGAGCTGGTATTTTCTCGTTTGATGTGATCAGCGCATTGATGATACTAATACATATGTAGGAACTACTAAAGTATTAAAACACCAGTTTAATTTACACCATTAAATGACAACCTAACAAGCATAATTTAATATACATTTGAAAATACTAGAATAAAACTTGACTTTTTTTTAAAAATAATTTATTTTGTTGTACCTATGTACTGAGTAAAACATGTTTAAATCAGAACATTAACAAAAAAAATCAAATTAAAAGGTGTATAATTACAGCGCCTTTTGTTTATATATAAAGATTTAATAGTATAGTAGGCTATAACACATACTATGAAATATAGAATCATGTCGTTATTGGGGAAGGGTCATTAAGCTTTATAAAGGTGTACTGATTTTATAAATATAAACACACATTTTAAAGTAAATATTTCAGATATTTTCAAGAAACTAAATTAGTACTGTATTGCTATCTCTTCCAATTTAAATGTGTATATTATGTCAATACCTTAGCTAAATCTATCGATACACATGTATTTAACAAGTTTACTATAAACTACAAAAAAAACTCATTATACACATTAATAAATATTTCAGATATTTTCAAGAAAATAAATTAGTACTGTATTCCCATCACTTTTTATTTAAATTTGTATATTATTTAAATGAGTTAGCTAAATGTATCGATACACGTGTATCAGAGGCGTAGCGACCCTTCCCGGCGCCCGGGGACAAATTTTTCGATTTGTACCTCCACCCCCTCAAGATTTCAATTGGCACCCCCCCCCCCCTCAAACTTTTGATTTGCATCCCCCCTCAAGATTTCGATTTGCACCCCCCCCCCCTTAATTTTTTGATTTGCACCCCCCCCCCTCAACCTTTCAATTTATTTTTCCAACCCCCTAAGGTTGGCGCCCGGGGACATATGACCACCCCCACCCCCCCGCCCATCGCTACACTACTGACGTGTATTTATCGTGTTAACCATAAACTAAAATAAAATATTCCACGTCCGCCTTGCCAACACCTTTCCCCATGATACTTTATGTTCAACCTGCCGCCCTACATTTTAATGACTGGGGTTGTTATGTCATGCGTCGATGCCCAGGGAAACTTATCTCGGTCATCAAGTCTAAATTTAGCAGACTTATTGTCGACGTAGAGGTTGGAAATTTCTAAACTTATTTTTAATGGGTGTTTTTTTAAAAGCACTGATGAAAAACGGTACTATTTTATCTTACACTCAGATATGTTTGTTATTGGGGGGGGGGGGGGGGGGAGAGAGAATGGGGGTCCGTAAATAGAGAATCTTTGACTTCGACGTTTTATTCAGTTTTTTTTCTTTTAAATATCTCTCAAGTGGAACATTGACCCCCACCCTCCTCACAAGCATGTCCACCGTCTCACGGAAAACAAAAGAAAACATATAATTCAACCAGTGTCCGCCCCCTAGAAGTTTCTATTACTTCCCTTCCCCTTTCCCTTGACAAAATATCTAAAAGAAACCCAGACTTTATTTAACTCGGTAATATTAATTTAATATACCGTAACGAAATCTTGCTCTAGAATTCTTCACCGTTTGTGAATGTATTAGTCACATTTAAATCTAGAATAACCCGATGTAACTCTTACTAAATCCTATTCTAACAGAAACCTGATTTAAACATGCTAATAAAAATGGGGGGGGGGAGTCGAATTTATTTTCTATAAGCTAATAATATTCCTTAAGATACATTTCCCTAGCAGCAACATCATATAACAAAATCGGTTTGCTGTAGTTAAATACGTTTTTTTTTCCTTTACAGGAAGTGATAAAATATTTATATCTATTCTTTGCGCCAACCAGTCCGTCATATTTAAACTATTTTACGGATGTGCTTGAACTTTGGGCTGCTTTTTCTCCGTATCTGCGTGTTTAAGTAGAACGATTTTCCTTCCTCTCAAAGGTAATTAAAAAAACCTTTATATTAACTATCTTTAAAAGCACTCAAAATAAAATAAAACGCAGTTTCTGCTTAAGATAAAAACTAGACGACCCAGTTTCCAGCTCGCAAATGGTCTATCTGCTGCACTGGACCATAATCCAATATCCCAGGTGTCCGTTCAAAAACCCGCTGGACAATAAACCCCTGGACCTAATCAATCGACTTAAACCCCCGGCGATATAAATTCCCTGGACATAAAAAAAAACAAAACAATCGAGGTTTATATAAGGAAAAACCAAAAATATGACGAGAAACAAAATTAATAATTAAAAACAAAACAAACATTAGAAAAAAACAGTGTTTTATTATAACTTTAAAAAGAGAAATTGTCGCGATGCCTCGCAAATACTCAATAATAGTGGGCTTATTAAAAATTTTAACAGCTGTTCAAATTCGTGCGTTGCTAACAATATTTTTTTTCTGTTTTGGTAACCAGTGTCCTGAATTCATCTGTGTACAATAAACCTCTCGAAGCGATTTTGCCTGTTTAATAGGGTAAATCATAATAGAAATTATAAGATTTTTGGAGAAATAAATTTGATGTTATATTTCTACCATGCTTCTGTGTGCCAAGGTGGATATGAATCAAGCTTCCGCCGGTGAATATTTTGTTTTGTTAAAAATGCGTTGCTTTGATCCGCACGGCTCCAACAGATGGATGACCGATATCTAAGGTGTTGTCGGTGCCCGATTTTTTATCAAATACAACTAAGGTCATTTCTCGATATTCTAATAGCATGCTTTTATGTAAAAACTCTTTTGTTAGTCGTTAAAAATTACATTATTATTATTATTATTTAATTTTTTTTTTATTCTCACAATCTTTATTATTTTCTTATATAAACCTCAGTAGGGGGTTTATATCAAGGGGTTTATATCCAGGTTTTTTTTAAAACCGGGAGCCAATATCCCATTGCAACCACCCATTATTGTCTTTTAACCCTAAATAAATCCCTGTTCTTTGTCCCTAACTCCCGCCCAATATCTTTAGGACATTAATTTATGACGTCCATGCGGGATAAGGGGTTTTACTTAAAGTGAGAGTACCAATAAAAACGTTACATTACAGTACAAAATACAATGGCACATGGAAACCTTCAACACAACAAATAAAGGGAAAAAAGGTTTTAGTTGGAATAATATTTGCGTGTGCTTTAATTTAAAATAGCAGCGTACGTGATTATAAATGACACATACAAAGGTGAATGATATTTTAACTAGATAATTGCTTAGCATTAAATGAAGTAATGTCTTTATTGGTCAACAGAAGTGGAAGATAAAGTATAATTAATTTAATACGGTATGCATTAAATTTGAAATATAATTAATAAAAATAAACACAACGATGTTTTAGAAATTTTTCATTATAATCCAATAGAAGTAATGTTAAAAGTTATTCAATTAGACTCCAAGTATTATAAGATATTGCTACCTGAGTCATAGTTACAGTGACAGTTTTTGACAACATTTTAAAACAAAATTTGATGCAGCATATTTTTCTGAAAAAAAAAGCCATTCTTAGTTTATTTAGAACTTTAAGGGGATTTGCTTTTGGTTACATTTTTATTACATATTTTAAATAATGTTTATTAATTTGAAACTGGTTAACAATTTTTAATATTAGCATTTAAACACACCTGAAACTAAATAATAGTGCTTAAAATATACCAGCCTATTCGATTTACCTTGGTAAGCTTCTTAGAGAGTTCGGTTATTTAAATGGATTTAGTTGTAGTTGTCATTGGTTTGGTTGTAATTGTTGGTCTGGTTGTAGCTGTAGTTGATTTAGCTGAAGTTGTTGTCCCTATAGCTTTTATTGGTGTAGTTGAAGTAGTGGTTTGTTTAGTTGTGGTTGCTGTAGTTTGAGTTGTAAGTGCTGTTGCTTTCATTGTGGTTGTTGTTGGTTTGGTTGTAGTTGTGTTTGGTTTGGCTAAATTTGTTGTCGATTTAGTTGTCATTGTAGTTGGTTTTATAGTTGTTGTAGTTGATTTCATTGTAGTTGTTGTTGGTTTAATTTTTGTTGGTGTGGTTGTAGTTGTTGTTAGTTTAGTTATTGTTGTACTTAGTTTTTTGTGTGGTTGTAGTTGGTTTGCCTGTAGTTGTTGGTGGTTTCATTGTAGTTGTTGTTGTTTTGGTTGTAGTTGTTGTTGGTTTTGTTGTAGTTGGTATTGCTGTAACTGGTTTTGTTGTGGTTGTAGTTGGTTTGACTGTAGTTGTTGTTGCCTTCATTGTAGTTGTTTTTGGTTTGGTTGTATTTGGTATGGTTGTAGTCTTTGTTAGTTTAGTTGTGGTTGTTGTGTTTGGTTTGGCTAAAGTTGTTGTCGATTTAGTTTTCATTGTAGTTGGTTTTATTGTTGTTGTAGTTGATTTCATTGTAGTTGTTGTTGGTTTGGTTGTAGTTGGTGGTGGTGTAGTTGTTGTTAGTTTAGTTATTGTTGTAGTTGGTTTTGTTGTGGTTGTAGTTGGTTTGACTGTAGTTGTTGGTGGTTTCATTGTAGTTATTGTTGTAGTTGGTATTGTTGTAGATGGTTTTGTTTTGGTTGTAGTTGGTTTGACTGTAGTTGTTGTTGCCTTCATTGTAGTTGTTTTTGGTTTGGTTGTAGTTGGTATGGTTGTAGTCTTTGTTAGTTTAGTTGTGGTTGTTGTGTTTGGTTTGGCTAAAGTTGTTGTCGATTTAGTTGTCATTGTAGTTGGTTTTATTGTTGTTGTAGTTGATTTCATTCTAGTTGTTGTTGGTTTGGTTGTAGTTGGTGGTGGTGTAGTTGTTGTTAGTTTAGTTATTGTTGTAGTTGGTTTTGTTGTGGTTGTAGTTGGTTTGACTGTAGTTGTTGGTGGTTTCATTGTAGTTATTGTTGTAGTTGGTATTGTTGTAGATGGTTTTGTTTTGGTTGTAGTTGGTTTGACTGTAGTTGTTGTTGGTTTTATTGTAGTTGTTGTTGGTTTTGTTGTAATTAGTATGGTTGTAGTTGTTGTTAGTTTAGTTGATGCTGTAGTTGTGGTTGGTATTGCTGTAGTTGGTTTTGTTGTGGTTGTAGTTGGTTTGACTGTAGTTGTTGTTGGCTTCATTGTAGTTGTTGTTGGTTTGGTTGTAGTTGGTATGGTTCTAGCTGTTGTTAGTTTAGCTGTAGTTGTAGTTGGAATTGTAGTAGCTGGTTTTCTTGTGGTTGTAGTTGGTTTGACTGAAGTTGTTGTTTGTTTTGTTGTAGTTGTTGTTTTGGTTGTAGTTGGTATGATTGTAGTTGTTGTTAGTTTAGTTGCAGTTGTGTTTGGTTTGGCTAAAGTTGTTGTCGATTTATTTGTCATTGTAGTTGGTTTTATTGTTGTTGCAGTTGATTTCATTGTAGTTGTTGTTGGTTTGGTTGTAGTTGGTGTGGTTGTAGATGTTGTTAGTTTAGTTATTGTTGTAGTTGGTTTTGTTATGGTTGTAGTTGGTTTGACTGTAGTTGTTGGTGGTTTCATTGTAGTTGTTGTTGTAGTTGGTATTGTTGAAGATGGTTTTGTTGTAGTTGTTCTTGGTTTTGTTGTAGTTGTTGTTGGTTTTGTTGTAGTTGGTTTGGTTGGAGTTGTTAGTTTAGTTGCTGTTGTAGTTGGTATTGCTGTTGATGGTTTTGTTGTGGTTATAGTTGATTTGACTGTAGTTGTTGTTGGTTTAGTTATAGATGTTGTTTTGGATGTAGTTGGTATGGTTGTAGTTGTTGTTAGTTTACTTGTTGTTGTAGTTGTAGTTGGTACTGTTGTAGATGGTTTTTTAGTTGTGATTTTACTTGGTTTGAATGTAGTTGTTGTTGGTTTTATTGTAGATGTTGTTAGTTTAGTTGCTGTTGTAGTTGGTATTGTTGTAGTTGGTTTTGTTGTGGTTGTAGTTGGTTTGACTGCAGTTGTTGTTGGTTTCATTGTAGTTGTTGTTGCTTTCATTGTAGTTGGTATGGTCGTAGTTGTTGTTAGTTTAGTTGCTATTGTAGTTGGTATTGTTGTAGATGATTTTGTTGTGGTTGTAGTTGGTTTGACTGTAGTTGTTGTCTGCATTGTTGCCGTTGTCTTGCCTTTAATACTGTGGTTGACAAAAAAAAGTAACTTAGTGAGAAAGCAATAATAATATTTATACTATTAGCATGTAAAAAAACTAGTCAACAAAGAAGCACTTAAAGTGTAATATATATATATATATATATATATATATATATATATATATATATATATATATATATATATATATGTATATATGTATGTAAAGTAGATTATTATCGGAAAAAAGGTCGTTTTAGTTTAGTCAATTTTAGTTAGTCAATTTCATATCATGCATTAACCTACCGTTGGCATATGCTGCAGCATTTTGGCTGTTTTAAGCATACATGGCTTAGTGTCAGATTTATTGTTGATAGCTATTTTGATAAGTTTTATCAGTGATGTTTTTTGAGACTATTTAACACAGGCATATTGTCACGGTTGGTGCTGTCTTTTAGGTCAGTTAAGTCCAAGCTAATTTTAATTCACTACCTGAAATCTAGTACTGCATTTTGATGAAACAAATTTACATTTTTTTAAAAATAATTTAAATTCAATAAATAATGTAATAGACAATACTCACATTAGGCATTCCACATACTCTTGATAGTTTTTAATGTAATTGATACAATCATTCCTTGATGTATTTGTCGTTGCTGTTATGGTTTAATTTATAAAACAAAAGGTGTTAAAATTTGTTTATGATTAGTATTGTTCACAATAGTTACTAACTGATTATTTTGGACTTGTTCAATCATTTGTATCTGCATGTTTGTGTCTGCACATTAACTAAATGTTATTTTGTTAATAGATATGTTAAGAAAATGTTTTGCTAGTAGTAACATAAAGGTGTTGATAAAATACTTAAAGCCCTCATTTAAATATGCTAAATTCATACATATATATATATATATATATATATATATATATATATATATATATATATATATATATATATATATATATATATATATATATATATATATATATATATATATATATATATAACTGAAATAATTGAAAAATGACAGATAAAAAAAGAGACTAGCTCACCAATGCATTCAAAATTATTAGTGCTAAGTATAAAGCCAATGTTACAAAAACACTGGGCTGTTCCATTAATAACTGTACATCCATGGCTGCAGCTTAAATTAGAATTGATGCATGGATCCACTGCTAAAAAATATAAAATATATATTTGTCAAAAAATAGATCATATAGTAAATTTCTAGTCTTAAATGTAATGATCAAAGATTTGAATAATATTTTGACCTAAATTCTAAATATTTCAGATTCATTGACTATTAGTCTCTAGTTTGATTTATAAAAATTGTCAAATTAAACAATAATAATTAATGACTAGATTGACTTTAGTTTTATCCTAAAATTGTAAACCTTTCTATTCAGTAACTTTAATATAGATGCATAATGTGAGACATAATTGGTACTATACTATATAATTAATAATTATTATATTTTTAAAAAATACATTATTAAGAATATTTAATTTAATTTTATCAAAACTATTTTTTATGTTATTTTAATTACAGTGGTACCTCAATATACTGTAAAACTGATTATATACAATGTAAATGCACTTTTTAAAACAATTTTATTTCTTTGCATTTTCTTTAATTATGATTTTTTTTTAATTGATCATTTATAAACACAATTTTAAAATAAAAAAAACACTTTAAAACAACTTGCATAAGGGGGGAAGGGGGAAGGGGGTAATAGATTCATAAAATTTCAATTAATTATAATAGACAAAACAGCGCTTATCTTTGAGTTAATTGACATATGAGCAAGGTTAAGAAATGAATTCCTATCTCAAAGTATCACTGTATTTATAAATTGAATTTTTAAAATTACCATCTTTTTCACATGTCTTTCTGTCATCCTTTAATCTATAACCAGGATAACAACCACAGTAGCTACTCCCTGGAACATTCAAACAGATCTGCTCACAGCCAGATTGGCCATTATCACATTCGTTGATATCTGCAGGCATAAAATAAATACAACATTTATGTATTCATGAAATTTATTTTTTCGATTTGATGTATCAAAAATTTAGGACAATGTTTAAGTTAAATTTATAATATTCGAACTTAACACTTTACTTATATTTAACAATAAATTCTGCATTGTTTTTAGATATTACCATTACATGTCCCATTTGATAGCTTGGTAAAACCATTAAAGCAATCACAAATGTAGTAGCCTGGCATATCAATGCAGTTTTGTGAACACTTGTTTAGTAATATGTTGTTGCATTCATTGACGTCTGAAAAAACAATTAAGCTATAGGTCTATACAAAAACTTAAGAATAAATCATAAAATGTTCATAAAATAATGTATAAGATAAAAATTAGAAATAAGCATTAATAAATTTTAAAGTAAATAATTGTCAATTATTCCTCATAAGAAATGACATCTTGTCAATTGGATTAATATATGTATTTGCTTTAATATGTTAAATTGAGATAATTATATCACAAATTGAATTGACAGAAAATATGACAAAAACAGATAATTATTAACCTTTTAAATTTGTAAAACTTGTCAATGCTTTTGGTATTTAATGGTAACCGAAAATTGTATTTCATAATTTTAAAAATTTAAAAATCAATGATAATATTAAAATTAACTACCAAAATTATAATGAATTGTTTTGTGAAACACCCTCCTACCTTAGAAAATAGCACATTAAGCTAAGCTTAAAAGTCTAAATAAGCAAATTCTCAGTTATTGCAATTACACATAATAGACCTGCATTGTAAAATATTCAGCTAATGTTTACTGTCAGTCCATATTCGTATGATACATATAATCTAAAAAAAACGGCCAATTCGCTTATATCTAACTTAGAAAATAATTCTTACCAATAAAAATCCATTAGATTTGGCAATTATCCTATTACAGACATGTATAGTAAAATATTCATTAAATATTTATTGCAGTACGAGTGTTTTGTTTAAAAACATGCACTAAAAATCAGGCTAAAATTGTACATTTAATTAACTTAGCAAATATATCTTACTGATGCAAGTCCCATTGATATCTTCAAATCCTGTAGGACAGTCACATGTGTAGGATCCCTGGGTGTTTGTACAGTAGTGATCAGCTGGACAAATGTCTGGAGTTTCTACACACTCATTAACTTCAATGTCACAGTTTGTTCCCTTCCAATTGTCTTGGCAGATACAGCCCTTGATACTGTCACATCGTACAGCATGGCCCTTACATTCACATTGTGAGGCACAGTTTAACCCATACATATTATCAGGGCAGGCTATTAGAAAAACAAATAAAACAAATGTAACTTTAGGACATGCACTGTTGTGAGTGTTAAGATTCTGGAGCCTAGTTAAGTTCAAGCTATGAAAATACTGAAGAAATAGAATTGGTAAAAAGATATTCATAAAACAATTTGTTTAGCTTTTTTTTCTAAACAGAAATTATATTGTGCAATATATTTAAAATCCTTTATTGAAATGTAATTTAAATTCATGTTATTGTTTGTATTTATTTAAAAACTAGTGAAAAATAAAATTTACTAATATTTTTTCCAGAGATTCTAGTAGTAGGCCTACTAATTGTGAATGTTTTTAAACTTACAATCACACTTGTGAGCATCTTTGCTGTTTATCTTGTAACCAAGTTGACAACTACAGGTAAAGCTTCCAACACTGTTACTACAGTTATGTGCACAAATATTTTCCTTGCATTCATCAATATCTGAAAAAACAAAAATCTTTGCATTATTTTTTAATAAACAAAAAAATTAATATACTAAATGTTATTAGTAGATTTTAAGAAGTATAAATAACAAAACTACACCTAGTTTTGACTATTTTTGTCTTCCTTGCCTCCACAACTCTTGGCTTCAATTTCCCCTAGTATTCTAACTAGATCAACCCTCCCCATCATTCACGCAAGTTCAATTATATGTACATAAATTAAAGCTAATATGTATTCACTAACTGACTATCCTTAAAACCGACTTACTTAAAACTACTTGTAATATAAATGACCATTAACAAATTAACTCTTTACAAATGTTTAAAATGACATAACAGTTAATAAATTGAATTTCGCTTTCTTTGAAAGTTGATTTATTTAACAGGTAGTAAAATAACAAACAAAAAAAACAATAAAAAAACATAAAATCTGACTATATTACTGTTTAACTAATTTTAATTACCTTCACAGTGGATGCCATCTTGTGTAAGATTATATCCGCGTTTGCAAAAACAGCCTTGAGTGCCATTGCAGCCATGCTCACATGTTTTATTTAGTGATTTACACTGATTTGTATCTTTAAAATATAATTAATTGAAGATATAAAATGTAACCATTCACATTTGTTTTTATTATTTTTATCAGTGAATAATACCAAACTTTAGAATGAAATGAATTATCAAAATATTCTCACCTGTTTTTATGCCAACACATGTATTATTTGCACGTTTATAACCAGAAAAACATGGACAATTAAATTTCCCTGGCATGTTGATACATATTTGATCACAGTTATCTAACTTGTTAGCACACTCATCAATGTCTAGAAGTAAACAACACTGTACAATGCATATAATAGCAAGAATAAATTATTATATCGAATCCTGAATTAAAATGTAGAGAATATTATTTAATTTTAGATGTGAATTGTTCATAGGTTAATACTAACATTTTTACACTAAATATTGACATAGATAATTATGTTTCCCTATTATGTACTTATACATAATTGATAGATGCTCTTTGTAAATAATACATTTGTAGTGTGTTCTTTTTGCAATACAGCTATTTCATGCCTAAATAGAATAAAGGAAAAAAGAAAAGGAATTAGAAAATATAAAACTACTTACCTACACAAGTGTTGTTTATATTTTGGTAACCTCTAGGACAGTGGCATACAAAGCTACCAAATGTATTTTCACAGTCAGCAAAAGAATCACATGGTGATGTTTGACATTCATCTAAGTCTGTTGATATAATACTTTTTTCAGACTTAATAAATATTAAATTTAACAATTATTTTAAAAATGCTATACAATTGTAATTGTAATTGTAATAGAACTTTTATATTTTACATTACATGTTTATTCTAAATAATTTCAACTTCAATTTTATTGCTATTTTATTTATTTTATAAAATTGGTTATCAAGCTTGAAAAAGAGAAAAGAGGCATTCTTTCAAGTAATCTTTGCAGTTTATTATTGTCTAGTCATTAAAATGTCCAGATTTTTAGAAGTGTTACCTATTCAAACACTTTATTGCATTTGTAAATATAAAATGAAAAGTTACTATTTGTAATTAGTATTATTCACCCTGATTTCTATTATATTACATCTAATACTAATAATGTACTTCTATAATTGATAAACAAAACAATATATAAGAAAACATACCCTCACACTTGGTTTTAGCAATGCTAAGATTAAATCCAACAGGGCATTTTACACAGTTATAAAATATTCCATTTTCCTGTTCTAAATTATTTGTAATATTTACACATCCTAATGGGCAAGAATTCAAAGCACAGCCATCACTAACTTCTGCACATTCAGCTCCTATTGAAAGTTAATATTATTTAAGAAAAATCTCTCTAGTCTTAAACTTCAATTTTTAAAAGTAAATGGCTTTTACATTATTACATATTGAATAGTTATTTTTAAAGATAGAAAATGTAAAAATTGTTTTGAATTGAATTGAAAAAAGAATAGTATCAAATATCAACATGCCTCTATGACCAGAGTTACAGTTGCAGGTTGCATATGAGAAATAAGGAGATGAGGTAGGTCTGGTAACAGAAAAGTTACATGATCCCTGATTACTGCAACCAGTACAGAGAGTAAGAGACAACGGGAAAACTTCTGACTGCAGGTTTTTATCATCAACAGCTGTTATTCTGTGGTATAAAATTGAATATATTTTATTACCAATTTTTTAAAAATGTTGTGTTATCATACTGCAATAATTTAAATTGAAAATATTTAATATTTATGTTATAACAAGGAAACAATTCGTAAGAAAAATGACGTAAAAGTGTTTGTTTTTTTTTTAAATTTATTAAAAGATCACCCTATGAAATTTTTTTTATTGAAATTCATTTTCAAAAATATTGCAAGTGGATATTTTTTTCAATATGTTAATAGGTTCGAATTAAGAAAACTCACATACCCTATTGTTACTGGAATAAGATCTGTAACTATAAATCTAAAGCTGGATGTTGCATTATGTATTGCAGTGCTTTGCTCATGTTGTGTTTCAGTATAATTTACATTTGCTAACACTATAAAGTGTGTTATGTTCCCATCAATATCAAAGCCACTGGCATTAAGGTAAAAAGGTTTATTTCTATATACTTCAAAATATGTTTGGTTTAATTTAATAAGTGGTCCTTGATTTGCTGTAAACAAAAAATATTAAAATTAAATATAAGTGTAATTTCGTAAAACAATAGAGAAATATTTATTTTATTAGAGATAAAACCACAAAAAAAACAAATATCTAAATAGAAGCAATCTTAGTGTTCTTATTGTAATATAACATGAAAAACTATGAAAAACAATATATTTACCCATATTGATGGAGTCCATTATAAACTGATCAGCTACTGTTAATGAATGTTTTGCTAAACTTTCATTTAAAGTTGCAATGTAATCGTATATACATGGTATTTTAAATGTTCCATTACATAGTGTGTTGAAATAATTTGTTATTGTCTTATCTAGGTCCTCATAAAATAAAGGATTGTTATTTGGATAAGAAAAAGTTGATGTGTTTTGTCCATAGGCATACTGGAATAAACTTTCTGATTGGGTTATTGCCCCTGAAAAAGAAATCATTTAATAATCTGAATTTCATATATATATATATATATATATATATATATATATATATATATATATATATATATATATATATATTTGTGTGTGTGCATAGATATAGTAGCCATTAAACATAACTGTCAAATAAAAAAGATATTTATTATAGTGATAAATATCAGTATTTATTTTGAAAAGCATCTCACAACTTTGGACAAATTGAAAAATGTGTCTCTCGGATGACTCATCAGAGAGCTTTGAACCATTTTGAAAGAAAAATTCATCTGTTTTAATTCCATTAAAATTGCCCAAAAGTCCTTTTGTCATATTCTGGTATTTTTTATCCAAGCTTACAGAAACTTCAAGAAAACCATATATGTGTGAAACTGTAGCTCCAACACCTGATAAGAATAATAACAATGTATCAATGTTTAATTTTGCAAATCACAAACTTAAGTGTGTGTTACATGTTTTGTTTAATACAATAAAAATATGTTCTTGTACATGTTATATATATATATATATATATATATATATATATATATATATATATATATATATATATATATATATATATATATATATATAAATATATATATATATATATATATATATATATATATATATATATATATATATATATATACATACATATATATATATATATATATATATATATATATATATATATATATAGGCCTATATATTTATTAATTTATTTTATATTTATTTATCTATTTAAAAGGGGGTCCATGCAGGTGTTTAGTTACTAAAACGTACTTTCTCCAAAAGAAACTGTTAACGACCCATTTTGTTTTCTAATCACCATTCCATTTTCCATAGCAAAGAACTCATGTTCATTTTGAAATTGTGCTGAGTAATCTCGATTGTTTCCATATATAATCATCACTGAAATAAATAGTTATAGTTATTTATTTTGAAGATTCTACATAAAAGAATTTTACTATTTATTCGACTCAATATGATTTTTAATAGAATTTTTTTTAAGTTGTCACTTGCATAAAACTTTGAGGTTTTTCTTTAACAGAAATCCTGAATGAGTAAGCCAGCTTTCAAAGTATTTAAACTTTTTAGTACCATTAAAAAATTTTTTTAAAAATTCATAATTTTAAAATTAGAATAAAGAACTAAATTATTATGTCTTTAAAAAATGGAAATGTTGTTTGCAAAAAACACATACTTTCACGGCTAGGACTAACTTCAACTGATAATGTGTTTTCATCTCCATTTTTAAATACAAAACCACACCAAACTGCAGCTCTTGTTTTTGTTCCATTGCTGTTGAATGCAGCACAGGTTCGACCCTGTTATTTTAAAAGTTAAAAAAAAAAAAAAAAAAAAGAAGAAGGTTGCAGGCTTTATTATTCAACATTTAATACAAGATTTTTAAGTTAGCATTATAAAATTGCAAAGACTGTTGGATTACCTGCATTATAAAATTGATTTCAGCTTTGTCCATTGCTATGCCATTCACCTCCAATATTTTATATTCTCCAAGACCATTAAATATATAAAATCGCTCATCAAAAGTAATAATGTGTGGATCGCCAAACAAAAATGCTTGAAGAAGAATTTTTTAATATTATTTAAAACATCCAGCAATAGAGTAAAAATTTAATAAGGAATTATTAATAGATTTTAGCTAGATTATTATTCATGAAAAATTTCTATTTAGAATTCATAGTCTATTTTTTTAAAGTAATGATGATATATTAAAGGCCTTACCTCTAGACCAACTGCTTGCAATACATTGCACATTTGGTCTTAACACATAGTAGAGTTCGCACAAATTTGACAGATAACAGCACCAGTTTTTTGGTTCAATGTCATTTATGTGATGATCTTTAGAATTGTGTATTAGAGAATTGAAAGCATTGTAGCGTTGAAGGCTGCCAGCTTGCGGCCTTCTGGTTTCAAGACTGAAACTCCCATCTGTCCGGTAACAGCATCGCTAAAAAAAGGTCATATGATTTGAAATTATGCCCATTAATGTAATTTTTACCTTTTTTGTTATATTATATTATAATTTTTTTAAATAAACTATTGGAATACATTCTCTTTCATGCTCTCCTCTTTCAATAAATAAGCTATATATGGCTTGCTATATTTTTATGAGTACTGATACACATACACCTTACATGAAGATATTAGTGTGTATAAGTTATGTCAATAAATAAAAACAAACAGAAACTATACTATAAAAGCAATGCTTACTCTTCCATATTCACCATAGTATGGTAATAAATCAAAACAGTGACTTTCATTCTGGATAAGACTGTATGACACCCAAAGAGGGCTATTTATAGCCACCAATTCATTACAAGGACAAGCTGGCATTTCTGAGTTTTTTCTTTCAATTGCTACAAAATGCAGAAAAATGATGTCAATATCAAATTTAAAAATACATTATATTTTATTCAAGTTGCATCAAGGTGGTGAGGTATGGAAAAAGAACTTCTTTATTAATAAAGCTTTATTTATTTATATGTGTGTACCTATGTGTATCTATGTTAGGGTACTTAAAGGAAAATATTTGCATTCATAAGACTCTTCAGAAAGCATTACTGCAATTGCAGTTGCAGCCATCTTGTAAAAAAACCTGCTTGGAAGTCTCAAGGTATAAAAATACTGTCATATACATTGATCATATAATCATTGATCTTTGTTTCACTAACTCAAATAGAGTAAGCTGGCTAGTTATTAAACAAGAAACTCTAGAAATTGTTTTTCTGAGTTTTTAAAATGTGCTATGGTAAAATACCATTTAAATTTAAGCTATAATTATTTACTGGTATTTCAGTATACAAAATTTTGAAAATAAAAAAAAAAATTCTAATGACACTTACCAAAATATTCAGCAATCGGACTAGTTTGGTACCATGATCTACACATCATTTTATAGTTTACTTTTTCACCAACTTTAAAAAACCATTGACCAGGTGATCCTATCAATTGAATGATGTTTAAATATTGAAATTTTGAATGTATGCACATATTTTATTCATTGGTTAATCTTATAGATAGTAAATAAACAAAATAAAACGAGGTGGCCCAGGTTTCTTAAAGGAATACAATGTAATAATAATCATTACCATAACATTTTTCAATATAGGCCTACTTAATTTTACTTTTAAGAATATACAAATACATAATTTTATAGGTTACATTGCTTGATGATTTTTAATTGTTAACAAAGTTGTTGGTAAACTGAGTTATGCAAAACTCAAAGTAGCAAAGCAGTGGTGCTGTTCTTTTTTGAGCCTGCAATGTGATAAACTGCAAAATAGTAACTTATCTAAGCGAGGGTTTTTAACATTTTGCGGTTCGCATTTTATCAACACTTTAATAATAATTCATAAACTTGGAACATTTATTTTAACCTGCCTGTATTTCCCAGAACTTGGTCGAACATATAATACGCTGATCTGGATGTGTCAAGGTTGTATTTGCCCCAACCAATCTCAACACTCCTTGCTGACAATGGTTTGAATTGCATAGCTGCTTGCATGTACAGATACATTGCATAAGTTGTGTAGCCATCGGTTATAATGATGCACTGGAATGACACACGCTGAAAAAAACATTATAAATTGCATTAGGCATTGTATAATATTGTTATTGTTCTTTACTATGTTTGACATAGGGGCGATACACTTATTGCATGCCTGTAGTACATAAATATTATATGCTGTTTCCACAACTCACCACAAATTGTTTTCATTACCTCGTTTGAATTGTTTCCATGGGCAGGTACGTTAACCCATGTGATTACAATAACTGTAGTTGCATTGTAGGATGAGGCGTTAACCAAATATCTAACGACGTCAATGTTCGCTTGTTCACATACTTTAGAGAAGGATGTTTCCAGACAACATTTATAAACCTTAATGGAATTATTTGAAAGTAATTTTTAACATCACACATTAACTGCTGTGTTTTTCAAAACGAATAGTTGTATAAAAAAATTGATGTAGAATCTGATATTTTTTTTTAAATTATGCACGCTAAATGTTTTTTTTAAAATAATACTTTTACAAATAAATGTACCCGAATCTTTAATGAAAATTTCACTAAATCACTATATTTATTTAGTTAAAATAAATATCATAAAAAATGCTATTTCTTTCATTTAATTGATTAAAAAAATAACATTTACCACCTTTAACTTCCGTTGCTATATTACGCGTCAGTATCACTTTGCTTTATTTATATAGAAATATGTAAAGGTGCACATTTTTAGAAATGACCATTACACCTCACTATTGAAACATTTTCACATCTGACACAATGCTGTTATTTACGAAACCCCAATGATATATTTGATATAATTATAGTGTTATCCTTTTCACAAATATAGAGGCCTCAATGAGAAACATGAAATTGTAGTCACTTTATCACTTTACCTATGTATATATTGATCTACAATTCGAAACGTTACTTAAATACTACTTTTGTACTGATTAGACCACTATTTTTTTATACTGGCTATTACAATATGAATCATTTTTTAAAATCCATTATAATATTTGTAGATATTAAAAGAACACACGCGTATTTTGATTATTTCCATTTTTTACTATATAGGTAATAAAAAGTTTTGAAAAAAGTGCCAAATACAATCAGTGTTTCTTCCAGACTTTTTTCTCCGGGGGGGGGGGGGCAGTTTTAAAAGTATATATTTTCTATAGAAATTATATAAATTTCATTTCGTTCGGGGGGTGGCGGTAGAATTTTTTCGGGGAGGGGGGGGGGCCGAAGAGATGCCTGGAAGAAACTCTGAATACAATCATACAATCTGTTGCAAAAAGTTAGAAGCTTCTGTTGGCACGACAGTGTTCAGTTTTCTAACAAATTATTTTTATTCACAAATCTCCTGCCCTACGATTGCAAAATTAATAATAGGCAAATCAAAAATAATGCATGTAAACTCAAAGAAAACATACATGATAATAAACCTGTCCCTCATCGCCATCTGTGA